CGGAGATGATGGTTTGTCACTGTTATTACGATAATTATGCGCACTGAAACCTTGAAAAACTTTTCTCTTGACTGCACTGGCGTTATGGAAACAGTTACCGTTTTCTACCATTGAGGTATCATGCTTCAAGTTCACTAACCTTTGACACTCGGTAGTTACTTCCTGCAGGGTCATGTTAAGGCAGTGTTCCAGTTTGCTTAGGATTTTGGTTCAGATATCAGCATCCTCGGGTGAACGCAGGCTACAGACAAACACTAGGCATTTAAATTGGTCTTCTGTCATGGGAGACAATTTGAACCTCTCACATTCTCGATTTACAATTCCTGCATGCTTCACCCAGTCATCTCCCGGTTCTTTCATTATTTTCGAGCATTGATAACGGATAGTAAATAAAGATGATTGTTCTTCGAAGATTTGGGACAGGGTTTTGACTGTTTCATCAAAACTAAAATCTCGTGGATTCTTCGGAAGAACGAAGTTGCTATAGCGCTCATGTTCCATAGTCCCAAGTTTTTTCAGAAGTATTCTGACTTTTGAAGCGCCATCCAGTTCGCAAAGATCAATATAAAACAAATCTCCATACTTCTTAAACCACGACTCAAAAGGTACACCTGCTACACCATCAAAATTAAATTCATGAATTGCGTTAATGACTGAATCAATATGTGATACTTGAGATTCACTAGAAGCAGAGTTTCTCTCGGACAGGCAGAATTTCTGCACCAGGGTTTCCATGATTCTAATTTGCGACTCTTCGAACCTTTTTTCTTGACGCACTATATGGGCTTTTAATTGCTCCAAGGAAATATCCACTGTAGTTTTCATCCCCGTCGCCACTGATAAGTCTTGAGAATTGAACGGTATATTCATTTCCCAAGCTTTTCTGGTAACCCGCAAGCTATAACTACACAGCGACTTGAACACCAGAAAGAAGACGCAAGTATGAGAAAAAATACTTTACTCCAAGGTTCATTCTTGTACAGAAAAACATGGGTATTTATAGATGTTAACGTTTGTTAAGTCAACATCATATTTCAGCCAATCCGTTAGCGACATATCATGCTACTGACCAATAGTAGCACGCCACGTTGGAATTCTAGAATGCTTCATTGTGCTGTGATTGGCTAGGACTTTTCGGCTCCTTTTGGGCCTCTTGAGGTTCCGTTGAAGTTCACCGAAAGCCGACTCAACAGATATAATTTAACAAGATTTTATTCATGTATATGTGAATAAAATTTCATCAGTTTATTACGCCTACCAAACGTTTAAGTAACCAATGCCTATGTAAGTAAAAGAAGCAAATATACGTGAATGTGCATACTATCAGTAAAAGAAACATTGCTTTAGAAGCGTTCCAATAGTAAAACTAATTTTATGGAAATATAAATAAATTATTAAGAAAACATTATGTGGAACAACCCACCATAAATCTGATCAGTAAAAGCTTAAGTATTTAGAAAGAGTATTACCTTGTGTATGGTTAGGGATATATAGGAACCAATGGCGTTTGTTTAGTAATAAGTAGATAACACTGGTTGGTGAATATAATTATATTCAGTTGTTAGTTGACGCCGATTCATTACTGACATTCGTGAATTCGATATAGGAATTTTAAGAATTGGACAAAATACTCCATTATTTATCGTTTAATTCCTTAAACTCTCAGATTAACCATTTTTCTAAGTAAGTCGTTTTTGATCTGAATATTAATTATTACCAAATGTTAGGGTTTTGTAAGCAGTCATTCAAGTTTTGTCACGAGTTTTGACTGGTTTCACATAGTATTCGGAAGTTAATACTAGTAGATTATCACATTTCTAAGGCCTACTGTAACAAAGAGTAGTGTCAACCGAAACAAACTATAATAAATATGGTTCTTAGTTTAAATCATTTCCAAAGTTTAAATGTATTAAAATGCCATTCTTAAAGGGATTTCACATAGATCATTTTCAAATTTAAAGTTAAAATTTGTATGTCAAAAAGAGACATAGACTGTTGTGATAATGAAGAGTATTTGAATTAAAATACAAACTAATGCAGTTTGATCAAGAAGTATTGAATGAACACGAACAAACATATTGTATTTGGAATTCGAAATCAAGCAGACAACAAGTATAAAGGAATCATTAGTTCATACAAACATCACATTCGCAACATCTCAAATGAGATTTGAAATTTCTACAATCACTTGTACCTCAGCTCCTTAGGTTCATCGTATTTGTCTATAATATGCTCATTAGTAATAAAACTAACAACTGAAATTGGAACGGACTCGCCAGAGTCCTGGAAGTGTATACGATCACCATGTCGGTTAAGTGGTGAAACCAATCATATTTGGAATTGAAACTACAGGCTTTAAAACAAAATCCTCCACCGCGAAATAATGTTGGATCTTCATATCCCCAAGTTATATATGATGTGCCTTCATTTGAAACATATCAAAGGATTCATAAGAAGTGACTTCATGATATGTATAAACAACATCTGATATGAAATCACCAGAATCGCAATCACAATCGAGGTCATTCAGAACTCGTACTTTGCCATGAACAATTTTCCCACAAGAAACAGACTCGCTATGAGGGAAAATAACATTTGATATGATGTCAGCAGGATTTGAATCTTCTGAAATATTTTTTTCAAATTTATTAAGAATGTCATTGGAGAGTGATGGATCAGTAGAAAAATCAGCATCTATGAAAACTACATCAGGTTTTTGATGATAATTAGTTTCACTCAACACATTTTTCTCATATTTGTAAGACATTTCATCAGAAATATTTGAATCATTAAGACAAACGATGTCTAGTACAATAGCGTGAGGAATCCGATAAGAATTTGATTGATTAGAAACTTTTGTCTCACAGTGATTCTGACTTTCATTTGATGCATTTGTATCCATTCTATTGCTCCGATTATTTTCTGAACCCGAGTCTCTTCAGCTTCCTCGGCAAATATCACCTAAAGTATGTTTGTTTTGGCTGAAATTCAGTTTCAGAATTATGCAAAGCTAACAAGGCTTAAGACTTGTTTAGTGCTGGTCTGCTATGTCATTATACAGTTTTTCAAAATCGTGGATAAAGATAAGTCACCATTAGAAATACTCAACTTTCTAGGATCAGTTTAGCATTACTCGAGGAGAAATAACCAGTAGTATTACAAACTAACTGTAAGTGTCCAACTTCACCACATTTAAAGCACTTGGAATTGCGAGATACATATGAGTCACTTGAGGGAGACTTGCCACTGGATAAATATTTGCCAAACGTGTGCTGATCTTCGTAACATGCTTCGCAACTTCGCAGTGAGTCATTCACTGCATAACCTTGAGTGCTCATTGCATTGGAATGACGTAGTAATGTAGTGGAATTCATGATGTTCTAAGGAATCATTTTACGAAAATTTTCTACTTTACAGCACTTTACTTGGTCTAGTAATAGGTCCTTCAGAGTTGCGTAGGAAAATGAAGTCGGCTTAACTGAAAATGTCAAATGTTCTACTTGTGTTTTCGAAGGCCCATCATGAGGGTGCTGAAAAGAGAGAGTAAAAAAAGAAGTGACGAGATGCGTAGTACAGTCAAAAACCAATTCCGACAAAAATATTACTCAATAAAAAGGTTTAAATACACATGAAATTTATGTTAAAGTTAATATTACAAGTTCACGACTAATTTTCAGTGTTCTGTCTTCATTAATATGGAGAGGGGGTCTATCGACCTATATTAATCCTTGCAGTTTGTAATATTGTGGGGGTTCAAACTTGTTTTGAATATATCAACAGAAAGTGCTGATAATACGTGTTCTGATAGAGAATTCCAGTAATTCATTACTCGGTGCGAGAAACGAATATCCAGATGTAAACTATTTGATCTTAGTTTTTGAACTTTTTTCGAATGTCTTATCAAATGATCAGTCCCAGATGGAAGTAAAAGATAAGAGATGTTATTACCAAGGTCATCGTTCAGTATAACATAAGCCAGTATTACATCAGCCCATATTTTACGGTAAGATAACGGAAATAAGTTAAGGTGTCTCAGTCTGTCTTCATAAGATAGGCCAGATAGACCTCGTACAATCTTAGTACCCCGTCGTTGGACTCTTTTCAGCATATTTGCTTCATACTTGAAACAATGACTCGCTGCTTGAATCCCATATTCTAACTGTGGTCACACGTAAATCGGGTATAATAATCTAAACATTTCATCATCTAAATACTGGAAATACCTACGGACAGACCATACTACCCTATGGCTTTTCGCAGCAGCAGCCTTACAGTGACCAGTGGTTTTGAGATCACTGCCTAATATGACTCTTAAATCTTTGTAGTTTCCTACCTTGGGTAGAACGAATCCACATATTGTACAGTGATACGATCCATCATAGTTATTTAATTGCATCACCACACTCTTATTCCGATTTATCTCATGTGACCACCTGTCCACCAATGAGACAAGATCATCCTATAATACTATCCTACCCGACACACTGTTTGTTGGTTTCCAAATTTTTATATCATCAGCGAAGGGTAGAACGGATGATTTTGCTACAGTTGGCAATTCATTTACATAAAGCAAAAAATTAGTGAAATAGAAATGTCTTGTTCTCAAAACTGGGATCACCAATTTAATGCTGGTAGTTGTCCTAGCTTTATCTATATCATAAGTCAGACGAGGTGTTGGAGGCACGGTAAAAGGTCAGATCCTTTCAAAGCCTCCCGCTGTTGCGTTTCAACAACCTTAAAGGGCCTGAAAAGGGGCGGTTATTCCAGTTATGTGGGTTTGTTGAGTGATAGTTGGGTTTCATGAATATCAGATGTTCTCATATTTAATTGAACTTTGCTTGTTGGATCAGGTTTTGATTCACATTGTGAGACACGACAGTTGTAGTTTGAACTCCTAATTTAAACACACGGACCTTTCAAAATTCAAGATAGGATAATGGAAAATATCAAAATATGCGCAAGATTAGGAGGTGAATAAATATATGAGCTATGACGTTTTGATGTCGACAGATATTTACTTAATTCTTAGTCGCCAAACGTAAGTTCTCACACACCCACAATTAATGTCGTTCCAAGCAGACAACATTTCAGAATCACTCACGACACTGCCCGATACAGAGCTTTCTATAACTAAACCCCCCAAGGATTGGAAAAATGCTATTTTTGCCATATGTTTAATCATGGAATGGGGCAGATTGTGTCTAACTATCAACCTATCAATCAAACCAAAATAGTAACCGATGTATCTTTTAAAAATAATCAAGGCTTAGTTACTCTATGTAGACTTATATAGCCTGTTGACTTCTGGGAAACATGAGTTTAGAAATAAGCATTTGTGAGTAACTAACTTACTAGTTACGAGGCAATGTTTGTCCTCCAATTTGATGTCACATACATTCAGGGTCTGACAACACTTTTATCCGTGAATCTTTCATAATGGAACAGCATAAAACCAATCTAATCAGAAATGAACGAGTTTGATGTCATATTTGGGAAGTCGCCGTTTGTTGAAAAGCTTTTGAAATAGGCTGGCAAGTCGTTGCAAGGAATGTACAGAACGAATTACCCATTCACAATCTGGTGTGGATGCGTGATCAAGCCTTACCCAAAGAAGTGTAATCAGCCCTATCAATCAAAAATTTTAAATATAAGCAGAATCTTTGGTGGAGGACAAGCTACAAGAATTAACGCAGGTCCAGAAACTTGTTATACTTCTATTGAAAACTGAAGACTGAAGGTCATCTGTGACCGCAAATATATAGTCCTGCGAATTGTCTTTTTAATCTATCTGCTTTAGGGGAACGTTGTGGAATTTCGGGTAATTACCCAAAATTTATAAGTTTCGGGGATTCCCATAAAGTTGTGAGAGTTTTGGTAGTTTTCTTTAAATTTTGGTGAAAAACTCCTAAGTGTTATGGGATTTTGAGTAAATATTGGTGTAAACCCGAAATTTCCGCAATTATTTTGAGGATTTCCGTAAAATCTTTGTAGGAAAAAGTTGTCATCAAGGTAGAAATATTGGGTTACACTAAAATTTAATCCTTATTTACGCATAATCTTAGTGGACTGAAGAATATTCTTCAGTTCTCTATATAGAGAGCTTCTTTAGTCTGCGTAAAATTATTAACTTGTATGAGCATCACTAAAACTTTGCTGATAGTTTTCAAACACCCAATGTCTTGAATAGCTTTACCAGGTACTCTTGGTTTTTTATCCAACCAGTCAGTACTCCTTTTCCGAAATGATCAGGATAAATGATTGTTAGAGATATTAGTTCTTTTTAGGCCGTTGAAAATTTATGTGTAAAGTATCGGATTCTTACCATGGCTGCTGCTAGCCATAAAATAGCTCGAAATCGGCTGTGATGGCGTGCCTGTAGTGGTCATTACTATTTCTTTGTTCCTTTTTTTGAACATGATGGCTGGAAGTTCTTATTGTCGTTTTCCGCAAATCTTTCACTGTAATGTGTGGGTTTGTTTGGATCCTCATTTATGTTGCTCCATATTTTCATTTGCTAGATAGAACATGACCTGCAGCAATTCACTTTTCATAAAACTATTGGCTTGAATACTTCGGTTCAGAATGTTTCTTTGCTATCAGTGCTCTCTCTATCCAAACACATAAGATTAGGAGGGACGGTATTTTGTTTCATTAGCTTGTTCTCAGTACCTAGTTAGATACACCTGTTATAACCAGAACCTCTTAAATAGTTCCAGGCCTTCGTACATTCTAAAGGAATTGAAAATCGAGGAATGTCCATCCATTAACAAACATTTCGACCTTATCGTTTTTGTAGTGCGGACATGTCTATAAAGTGTCGTGCTAGATCTTATGTCGTTTATGACTTTGCCGCTTCGCCCGTAGTATGACTTCATAATCCAATATGACACTCGTAAAAAACTACAAGCAAAACGGTAGAAGAGCTCATTTTTTCCCATATTCATATTGTAAAATAACTGATGCAATATTTATCTCTTTCAGACTGTCGAGTAACCGAATTCTGCACATAAACGCTTGTCCTCTACATATTGCGATGTGGTATTTTAAAACATTTGGGCTCAAATTTTTCACAGCAGCATCCGTATACTGTAGTGTACATTCTCTTGGATCTGATTTGAAAATTCAACACTGGAACTACAACTGGGATAAGTCACATGGTATATAATTATTTTTATCGTCTTATTGTTTATTTTTATAGGTATACACGATAATTCAAAATTCGGGTTAAAACCAGATACACTTAACGTAGTAAAACATCTGCAATCTTATCATAAATTAATTATTTTTATACGTCATGGACAGTATCATTTGAATAGAAAGAAGTCGGAGGAAAAGGTCCTCACCGATATTGGTTGGCGACAAGCATATGCTGCAGGTTGTCGACTTAGGGAAATGGGAATTAAGTAGGCTTAAATGTGATATTGATTGTACATAATTCTTATACTTCCTATTCATCTGCAGATTTTATCTTAGTAATCAGTGAAATTTGAGTGTTTTAGCTTTACATTTTGAAGTATTGTCTGTGTGGTTGTGACTTTTGGATAACGTTTTGAACTACGTGTTGTAGGTTTGAAATATGATCCTTTATTAACTATCTAATACGTAAAAATCTGTTCACGACTACTAAATCATCAGTTTTTCTTTGTTGTCTACTAAAACACGTCCTAGTATCTTCAATGGAAGCTTAGTGTCCGTCAAACATTATTTCGTTTGTTCATTGGGCATATCTTGAGGCTTTCATGTAGCAATGTTGTTTTGTAGAGTGGGCTTGCAACTTCTTTCACGAATTCCCGTCAATAAAAAGTGGCTTATTGAAGCTAAATAACCCTCCCAGTTATTTGACGATGCTTCATTCCATCATACCTATTTAATAATCCCATGGTTTTTACTCAGAATTAACAGTCAGTCACAACATAGAACCTTGTACGTATGTACATCGGTTTAAGTTACCACACCCCGTTAGCACAGAGGGATGAAGTTGTCAGACGAAATCCCTGAATAGTAGAGGTAGTAACATTACCAGTGCTAATAGGAAAGATTAGGCATCGTAAATACAACTCGGAAATATATAAATTAATGAGATAAAAACACGAAATGACCCATGCGGATTTAGAATTTTAGAATTTAGGGCATTAAAACTATATTATCACCACTGAAAATCGTAGTAAGTCGAGTGCTTAAATCACTGACATAACTCCACTTATTATCAAATCGTATATTCCGTGACCATGGTTCACTGTGGTTTAATAGTAATAAATATAGAATCTTACTATATTCCTAACCACTGGTCGGCTTTTGAACACTTTACTGACAAAATGTTTTGCTTCCCACTGATACCGTATTACCTTGCACAAATTTGTATCGGTCGAAGTTGCTACTCTTTATAATAATATAATCAAATCGGAAGTTGACAAAACGACGAACAGGAAAGTTATAAGTGTATCATCAACCTCAATGGAAAATTAGACATGAAGAATGGTTAATAGAACTACTATTCAATCTGAGTGTAATTGCTTATATTCAGAAATACATGACCTAATTCTAAAATGTTTAGTTTTTACCTAGATAGTGCTAAATACTCACAAATAATGTCCAGAGAACTTTCTTGAAAATCCCATCATCTTACAAAACAGTATTCCTTGATCTTAAAGCGTTCGACTCCGTTGATTGTGAATTTCTATGTCTGTGTATCATCAGAAGATGTACGAAATCTTGGCATCAATTCAGAATTCCTAATTGGCCTTCGCCAACTGACGCCATTTGTGGTGTCGGGGAGATATTCGTCTTCCAATCAAAGGGAGAGTTAACTGCTCAGCAGTTCGCTCCTTTCTAATTAATGGCGCATATATATTGGCGCTCTCTTGTACCAATATTCATGTGTTCAAATAAAATAAAATAATTAATGGATGTAAAACATGGGGATTAAGAGTAGGGAATATTCTTAGGTTACTGGCATTCGATCATAGATGTTTACAAAGCATTTCTCGTGCATTTTGAGACCACGGAGTAATCAGTGTCTGGGCTAGGAAGAAAGTACTAGGTAAACATAGGTAATCGACTAATCAGGTAGTAAATCTTCATCAACTTAGGTTGTTGAGACATGTGTTACATGTGGACAACCACTACTTACCTCGACGAGTGATGTTTTGTGGTGCAACATTAGGCTGAAAGAAAGCTGGGGGTGTCCAAACCAGAACATGTCACCAGTCGATGATTATTATTATTTCAACACATAGATATTGGTACAAACAGGCACCAAATACATATGCTCCACACAAATCTCATTCGATATGTGTGAGGGCTGTGATACTGCCCAGGTGCCCAGACCGAAACGGGTGGTTTTCTTAGGGGGCCACACCCCGAGTCTTTGACCTGAATGTCTGATCCACAAGACAGTAGAGCATCGTAAGGAGATGCAGTCCCATGGAAGCCGGTGACCAACAATTGGTTCATACGCCATTTGTTCCCGCAGGATACTGGAGCCCATGTGCACCATTGATTTGGAATCCGGTTAAAGCGCCAGACATTCGCTTTTCGTCCTCTCATTTTTGTAAACAACACCCCCGCCACGAGAAGGCAGTGAGTAGGACTTCCTTGGCAGGGGCTATATACGCGAGGCCGTGTGAAAGCAGTCGATGAAGTCACTGATAATTGAGCCTGGACCTGTTAGTGGGTATAGACAACCTGGTTATGGTCCGCGTGATTATCGTAACCGTTGGTTAGAGACTTTGGATGAAATGGCCCAAAATAGTTCGAAATGGAGCAGATACATCAATTCTTTGCCTCCCCCAAATCTTGAGATTCTAAATTCCTTATAACGTTTTATGTTTTTATCTCATTAATTTTTATATTTCCGAGTTGTATTTACGATGCCTAATCTTTCCTATTAGCACTGATAATGTTACTACCTCTACTATTCAGGGATTTCGTCTGACAACTTCATCCCTCTGTGCTAATGGGGTGTGGTAACTTAAACCGATGTACATACGTACAAGGTTCTAGGTTGTTACTGACTGACTATACAGTAAACTAATCTGCTATAGTTATGTCATTCTTATAATTTCCATTATCATTAGTTTTTCGAGCATGTTCCACTCACGTATTTTCAAGTTTATTTAAAATTCTATAAGCAGTCCTTATATGAAACTGTTCTAGTTCCATTTGTTCACTCTTACTGTCTGTTAATGCTTCAATGTCCCACATATCTTTTTTCTTAGAATTGATCGCATTATACACTCAGATTTAATCCGTGCTCGACAAACTACAGCTGCTGTTCTAATTGGCTTACAAAATAATGTTGACGATCTGTTTGATTCACCAGAAATTGTTCAACTTGTTATACCGTATTCATCTGAGTTAGATGATCCTAAATCATACCCTGTTACACAAAAATCTAACCAAAAAAATTCAATTTCAAAGTCTAAATCAAATTCTCCAGTGAAAATGCCAATGATTGACAATCCTTATACACCTTATGCGAGTGCCATGTTCGATTGTCAACTATCACGTTATCTTACTGAGGGTCCACCTCCTGTTGCTCCTGTTCCACCAACATGTAAGTCGAACGCATATGTTTCCCAATGTCAGGGAAATATATAATAATGGATTGTGTTTTTTCCACTGAGTTTGAGACGTTAGAGCATGTTTTTAATGTGGACCATTCTAAAGAGACAACACTAAATACTATCCGCCTATCCAGTTGGCAGATGTAGCCTATTAAACACTGAGTAAAAATGGTTAATGTTAAAGAAAATGTAAAATTACAAATCTAGTTTCTCCAAGAAAATAAATAACTTATACTTGTCTAATCCAAACATCTGCTCAAGATGTGTTAATTAAAGTACAGAGTAGTATAGATGAATTAGAATAGGAAATGTCATTGACTTGAAATATATAGATGCTGAAATAATATTCATAAAAACTACAAGATTATGTAATAATACTTTTCCAGATAGTTAAATAAAGGAGCATATATAAAGGGAGTGAAGAAAAATGAACAAGGGGTATGGGAAATGACAATAAACAAAATATTTTACCAAAGTTAATGAAACCAAGAGATAAGGGTGTTGGAAATATCTTATGAATAGAAAGAGTTGGATTGTTAGGTTGAATCCCTATAGTTTCTGCTATGTCAAAGAGACGAGATGGGAACTCATATGCGAAATTAGTATGAATACTATAAATCACTTTAGATGACCTATTTCTATGTACTACATGACCGCTACCGATCAAATGTAATAGAACAGAGCTGCGTATTGTTTTGGTCATACCTTTTGCCATCCTCAAAGAGAGGTGTTCACTCACTCGTTTTTTGAGTTGTCTGTTTGAACACCTAAAATAGATTTCTCCACAGAAGCATCTGAATTCGTAGATACACACAGATGTTGCGAAACCAAGCAACTTATCCTTTAGTGGAGGAATCACCAAAGATCAGATCGAGAACGATAAACGGGTTAGTTGCACTATCAGTTCTCTTCGTTTCTCTAGTTTGTTTATCCCGTAGCACATCACCAGCTATATCCCCGTTGAATTGCAGCTTCAGGAAGAAAGGGTTCTTACTAGTTATTGATGTCGCTATTTTCCTGTTTCTTAAATGCATGTGTTTCCTCAGGAAACCTTGTGGATAACCTATTTCAATCAACATATTATGAATGGGCTCTAGTTCCTTGTTCATTATGTCGTCTGAGTATATCCTGCTAGTTCTACATGCAAGAAATCTAACTAGGTTTCTTTTGGGTACAAGGCTAAAACATTGTGTGTATTGGCTGTAATTCAAAACGTGCTAACAATTCAGGGGAACGGTTGTTATCGGCATAAAGATTCTCAATTAATGTTGATCGAATCATTGAGAATTGATTCATCTCTTACTTACATTCTATTTGTGTTGTCTGAAAAAATGTATTTTATCATTTTATTTATTTATTTAAACACATAAATGTTGGTATAAGGATGCACATAGATATTTATTTTAACAGATAGATATTGGTACAAAGAGACACCAAATACATATGCGTCACACAGATCTCATTTGATATGTGTGAGGGCTGTAATACTGACCGGGTGCCCAAACCGAAGCAGTTGGTTTTCTCAGGGGGCCACACCCGGACCCTTCGACCTGAAGGTCTGGTCCACAAGGCAGTGGAGCATCGTAAGGAGATGCATTCCCATGATAGCCGGTGACCAATAATTAGTTCATTCGCCATTTGTTCCTCAGGATACTGGGGCCCACGTGCACCATTGGTTTGGAGTCTCCACGTGCACCAACCCGGTTAAAACGCTGGACATTCGCTTTTCGTCCTCTCAATTTCGTAAACAACACCCCCGTCACGAGAAGGCAGTGAGTAGGACTTCCCTAGCATGTAAGAGCATTTCGAGAGGGAGAGCGGACTTTCCCCACTCTCGGCCGTAACAGGTCATTTAGGGGCCACATAAATTATTCAATTTGTGTGAGGGCTGGGATACTGCTCGGTGATGTTCTTAGGAGGCCACATCCGGAGTCCTTGACTTAAAGGTCTAATCTGCAAGGCAGTGGAGCAACGACATTAAGAGATGTCCCATGGTAACCGGTGACCAACAATAGGTTCATACTGGAGACCATTTGCACCATTCGTTTGGTGGATCCTCCATATCCATATTGTAAGTATAGGAAAATCAGTTAAATTTAATAGATTCAACTTTATCTGTTTGAAGTGTGAGTGGTTTTTATTTACTAATATATATATATATATATATATATATATATATATATATATATATATATATATATATTAATCTTACTGAATCTTAAGTATTGTTACCACTGTTCATATGTGTGTAATCCTCATTTACTGTTGTTATTCTTATATGAATATTTTATTTCATTTTTTTCGGGGGTGGTGGTGGTGATGGTGTTAAAGCATCTACAAAAAAATCTGATAATATTCGTTCAACAGAAGGTATTCGTATCGATGAAGGATTTCAAATACATTTACATTGTAAACCAATTACAAAACAAGGTATTATTGCATATAATGGTCCATTGTATTGTCCTAATAATTGTTGTTCTATTTTAAAAAATAATTCTATTATAAATATAATTCAATGTGATTGTCCATGTCATCGTATGACAGAATATAAACCAATTGAAACAATTGTATTTATTGGTCATGCTAATGTATTTCGTTATTGGATTTGTAAATTATTACAATTACCAATTGAAGGATGGTTACGTTTAAGTTTAGGACATGGAAGTATTAGTACATTGTTAATTACAAATGATGAATTCATAATTCATTCTAAAGAAGACAATAATAATAATAATAATAATAATAATAATAATAATAATAGTGATGATGATGATGATGAAGTGAAATATACAAAAAAATTAATATATGGTTCAATAGTAACACTTAATCGTCTTGGAGATGTTGGTCATTTACCACCGGAATTATTAACACAATAATAGTATCTCTCTATTTTTCTTTTCTAATGATAAATAATTACTTAATGAATTACGCCTGTTACTCCTTGTGAAAGAGCATAGGCCGCTCATCACCAGCATTCTCCATCCAACCCTGTACTGGACAATTCTTTCCAGTTCTTTCCAGTTGTAATTTCTAATGATATATATTCATTATAAATGGATGAATGTACATAACAATAATGAAAAGATTATTTATATATTATTATTATTTGATGTACAGTTCTGTAGATTTCTATTGTAATTTATATATGAAATATATTGATAAAGATTGTAATTTACTTTTTATTCATTGAATTCAATTAATGAAATGGTACTATGTATTATGTAAATGATTCATTATTGTCGATATTTTGTCTATTTAAACACATAAACATGGGTACAAGAAGGCAGTTCGTTCTGTTTTACTTTACGGATGCGAAACATGGCCATTAAGAGTCGAAGATACTCGTACGCTATTAGTATTTGACCATAGATGCCTTAGAAATATTGCTCGCATCTGCTGGGATCACCGGGTTAGTAATAGTGATGTTAGACGCAGGGTATTAGGGAATGATGGTAAATCAGTTGATGAGGTTGGGAATCTTCATCGAGTGAAATGGTTGGGCCGCATGTTGCGTATGTCTGGACACCGATTACCACGACGCGTAATGCTGACTGGTGTAGGGAATAGTTGGAAGAAAGTTAGGGGCGGACAAACCAAAACGTGGCATCAGTACTTGAAGTCACTAACTTCTAGTCTTAACCATGTTGGTAGATGCAGACTACTTGATTGGGGTCCGTGTGACTATCGTAACCTATGTTTGGAGACTTAGTGAAATGGCTCAGAATCGATCACAATGGCGTCGGTGGATACACTCTTTGTCTTCCCTTAAACTAAGAGATTAAAATCGCTTCATATCTTTCTTTCTACGAACTAATTCTTTCTTTCTGTACTATATCCTTATATGCAATCCTTCTTTTATATATTACCACCATTGACTTAACCACTCCTATGAATCCGGTGTTGATCTTGCTGTGCTAATGCGGTATGGCAACTTGGACCGATGCATATATGTGCCTGGTCCTACGTTGTAGCTGACTGACAAGGAGACACCAAATAGATATGCACAACATAAATCATTCGATTTTTGCGAGGGCTAGGTTACTGCTCGGTTGCCCAAACCAAAGCAGGTGGTTTTCTTGGAGGGTCACCTCCCCCAGAGTCTTTAATCTGAAGTACTAATCCATAAGACAGTGGAGAAACGTATGGAGATGCAGTCCTATGTTAGCTGGTGATCAATAATAGGTTCACACGCAATTCGTTCCTTCAGGATACTGGAACTGATGTACACCATTAGTTTGGAATCAGGGTTTTTCAACTCCCCTAGGTTGACTCTCCTTGTGTACTAAGCCGGTTAAAGTGCCAGACATTCGCTTTTCGTCTTCACAATTTCGTAAACAACACCCATCGAAAAGTGTCTATAGTTGTTTGTTAAACATTTAAAAGTAATTAATAAAGAACATATCATGAAATTAGAGTGTTAGTGATTTTTGTTTGTATACTTAACTTATTTCTTATAGGTGACCAGTCACGGTTCAGTAAACAAAGTGATAAATTAACATACTACATTGTTCGTTTTTTATATACTTATGTATGCCTCACAATTTATGTGTTACAGTTGGAGATAGTAGTTAACCACTTAAAAAGAAATAAGGGGTGCAATGTTAAAGCCATACTATCGTGTTCTGTTAGAGGTGAATGAACAGTTCCTCACAATATGGAAGAATACTTTTTGATGGACCTGGCAAAGGTGGATCACTAGAGAAGTTAGTGACAGCATAATAGTGGGGATAATTGCTTGAGACTGGTTACCTACGGACAGTTTGTGAGTTCTTGAAGGGTTGACTCCGTATTTTGAAGACCTTGTCGCCGGCGATGAAGATGTGTGCGGAGAACTGAGGTATGCTATTTTTGGGATAGGTTTTCTCTAAACTCCCATTTTCATGGACGCGAAATTGCTGCAAATCCTGGTTGTCTGAAGGGAACATCCTTCTTTTCTCACATTCCAGTATAGTTTGCACTGGAACTTCATCATAGAATCTTAAACTTCTGCTTTCAGTTTTATTGTTCTCCAATCAAGCTTTGTAGCACTATAGGACTTAAAAAGCGAGTGTTCGATAAAAAACTCAAACTACTACTTCAGTTTAGCAGCTACACTAATGAAAAATCAAGATGGTTGGCTAGGGACATTCAATTAATTAGGTCCGCTAAGCGTAACAAACATAGCATGAATGGTAACTGCACTGAGCTATTCCTTTCGAAGAGTTATTTACCCGTAGAGATTTATTTGAAATCGTTTGGAACATTGAAATAGTTGACTGTTGAAATGTAAAATGAGTTTGTGCAGTATTGATTATAGTTAAACAAAATTAGGAATCATTGAATATCCGCTTCGTTTTAGTACTTAACTCATCAACAATGCGCATTCACACTAACAAGATCATCAAAATCTATACAAGTATTCATCTCAGAAAGGGGAACAACCATGTGATAATTTATTTTTGTTATTCACATATCTGTGTATTATTCTTATAGACAATAATAATCACTTCCCCTACTGAACCAATCATCCATTACAGTCATTTTATTTTCGAAAATCAGAAAGTATTTCCCATAAGTTATAAGAAGTACCTCCCATATAATTTAAGAATTGATAATAACTAGGTATATCCGGCTGACGAGTCACAAATAGGACGAAGCACGCGTCCTGTATTCCACTACTAGCCCCTACCTATCTTTGCTCATAAAGCTTTTGACTTAAGGCAATCCACACAGGATGTACATATGCCAATATGAGACCGATCAATTACAGTTCTAAATAACAATGGGAAGATTCAAGCAAACAATATCAAGTGAATTTAAACTTCACCCCATTGTACAAGCAAGTGGCTATAAGGACTCAGTAGCTAAGTGGAGGGCGTTTGAAGAGAACACTGGTGGGTTTAAGTCCCGAAGTGAAAACCACCTCTGAGATGTAGGTACATCCATCTGACGAGTCCCAAACAGAACGATACACGCGTCCTGTATCCCAACTGCTAGCCACTATCTATCTTTGCTTATAAAATTTGTGATCTAAGGCAATATCGATGCAATCCACACAGGATGTACCTATCCCAATAAGAGACTAATCAATGGTAGTCTTAAACATCAATGAAAAGATACAAGTAAATAAGTAGTATGTATAAGAAATAAGTAGTATTAATATTATCATGATTACAATATTTATATGCATTTTCTTTTCTAGAAAATTGTAATTTAGGAAGACTTCATTTAAAAAAAAACAAGATAAACATAATACCAGACACAAAGTATCAAACGAAAAATCAACAAAATTCTATTTACATTTAAATACGTAAAGTAAACAAAAAAAGTTGGATAAAAGATCAAACTGTCAACAACAACAACCATAGCAACAAGTAAGTTCTTTCTTTATATCATGGAACAAATTGACTTAGTTATAATGATTGAAATGTATGTGGGTTATGGTTATCTGTTTATGTATGTATGTATAGAATTGCACGCATTATCTATACTTATTTCTTACAAAAATAATAACAAACCAAATAAGGTTTAATTTAATAATGTATGCAAATAAAAATAAGTAGCAATACAGTATCATGTAGATATTTGAAGAAAAACTACTATTACTACTACTGATATAAATGATATTAGTAGTAGTAGTAGTGGTGGTGGTGCTGGTGGTGATAATATCCATAGTAACAATAAACAATCTGTTTTAGATTTCAATTTTAAAAAAAGAAAAAAATAATAATTGTGCATGAATTGGAATTTTATTGAATTTCGTATTCTTGATTTCTTTTTTTTAAAAGGGGTTTTTTGTTGTTGAAAAAACAAACAAACAAACAAAATTTCTTTTCATTTCTCTTCTATCAGGATAATGGTTTTCTTATACAATGGATATAACAAGTAAATCTGTAATAGGATAGAATAGTTGACTAGAAAATAATACGTTTGAAATTATATAAATTATAGAGATAAATGTTAGTACTTTTGGTTGTGCATTCAAGACTGTCGAAGAGTATTGTTGAGGTGTCAGCCCACTTCCACCATACTAGGACGTAACACTTATCCTGTGCTTGTAGTTTGTTTATAAATAATGGTCTAACTAAGATCATATAGTGATTAAAACTAATGATAAGTCCACAATCTTCACAAATCCCTACATACTAATTAATAATTATGTGCTCGCTAGTTTCTAGCTTCGAAATGAAACTCTCAAAATTCTAGTAAGATGCAGCCAGTCAGTCAGTAACAATGTAGATCTTCGTACGTACGTACATCAGTTCGAGTTGCCATACCACATTAGCACAGAGATGCAGTTGTCGATTTAAATCACGTAGTGATAGAGGTGGTAAGAGTATAAGCAATAATCGGAAAGATTAGGGTTTGGAGATGTTATTTAAAGAATATAATCCAGTGAAATAAATTTGGGAAGAGAAAAAAAAGAGATAAGGAGGAATCAGGAGATTAGAATTTGGGAGAACGCACGCTCAACTAGGAAGTGAAGTAGTTGAGCGTGTCGACCTCTTCACGTGGTCTGCTGTGCGATGACGTCTCAACACGGATACAGAAGGCTCGACTAGCTTTTGCCAACTTGCTTTATTTATGGCGTAGGCGAGATATCCGTCTATCAACCAAAGGATGTGTTTACTTTGCAGCAGTTTGTTCCGTCCTACTTTATGGCAGTGAAACATGGCCGGTAAGAGTAAAGGATATTAGTAGGTTACTATTATTTGATCATAGTAACATGCAGTAACCAGTAGAGTTCAACCATGCCGAGTGTGATACGGTTATTCATTGCACGTAATAAAAGATAGTCGCGGAATATTGTGAATTGGTTTGAGTTAGACATTAACACCATTGGATACTGACTCAGTAGCCTATAGGTTCAGCGTCCGCGCACGGAACTTGAAGTTCATGAGTACGCCTTCCTATGCTTTACTATGATCAGCTGGCCGTCTATCTCTTCCAAGTTTTCGACGGTGGTTCGGCTAATATAAATTTATGATTTTAGATAAGGAAATGTCTTAAATAGTTCGATGTTAGTACCTTTGACCATGGCACTTAGTGATATGGTTCTTATTTTACAAGGAACCAGCATGATGGCTAGATTTAAAACTGCAGTTATCTAATGCTAGACACAGTATACTCTAATTCGACTATACGACAATAAGCACCTACAACGCTCAACATATGATTGAACCTGAAAGATAAAGTACATTACTTTTCATTCGTTATTCAACACTGTGCATTTTCAAAATTCCTTTCTTACCAGTAGACCCGAAATTCTCAGATTCAGTACTGTATACGAAATCATTGGTACGTACTACTGAGGAGTTACAAGATATCATGAAGTATTTTTTTGTTCAGGGATTGAATGAATTTGAAAGCATTAACCGTCGAACTCTAGATCACTAGCTTAAAAGTGTTGTGCTCCTTTCGATACTTGAGAGTCTCCACCTCAGTCTCGTGTAGGATCATCAAATCACGCTTCTTATGTTTCTCAAAGTTGGCAGTCAAATACAATAATAAAATGCTAAATTGTACGCATGCATATTAGCCTCTTCGATATAATGTTTTCCTCCTAAATACTATCATTTTTTCAATTGTAGTGTATATTAAAGAATAATATTAGCAAGCAAATCATCAAAAATTAGTAAGAACGAATCCACTGCATTGGCTATATCCTCACTGGTGATTAATTTCAACAGGTACTCGGCGCCCAACCATTTCAGATGTGCGACGGTCGCCTACCAATATCATTGGAAGATGTGGTTGTGTAATATCGTGAATCAATTAAAGTCAAAAATGTAAATCGCTGGATATCGGCTACGTGGTCTAATAGTTAATTACTCAATGTGAGGTCCGCAGGTCTTAGGTCCAATGATTGACAGGGTCATGGATGAGAACAGTTTGTCGGTTCTTCACTAACATACAACACCTGTCCAGTACTTCCTAGTGTACGATGGTCAACTAACGCAGGTTAGTCCATAGTTAGTCCATAGATAAACGCTCAATGACTTACCATGGAAAAAGCATATTACCATTAAATCTATTCATCTTGTATATAATCCATAGTGAATGTTTCATCATCGTCTAAATCATCTTCATCGAATAAACGTCTAGCATCGGATGATAAAGACAATGTTTCAACACTACTATTTTTTGAATGCGATAAATTTCTTGCCGATAAAGCACCCTTCACTTTGGTTGTTGTTGTTATTCTTGATGATGATGATGATGACGGTACTGTTAACGATTCTGATGTTGATGTTAATGATGAATAATTTGCAGGAATATCAACTGATTTAAACGATGATATTGATTTATTATCACTATTGTTATTATTATTATTATTATTACTATTATTGGAAAAGATACTTGGTGATGTAAGAAAGTATTCACTGCCAGCTTTTTTCATAATTGGAGATTGTTGTTCTTGATGTATTGTAACAGTTGATAGTTTACGTTTGTTCTCTTTGAGTCGTGTATCCATTTCATGAATACGAAAGTGTAATCTTGATTCTAAATGATAATTTTTATAACTTCTAAAAGAATAAATAAAATAAGAAACATGAATATCACTAAGTGAGACTATTATTTATGAACGACTTATAAGTGACACCAAAATGACTTTGAGTGTATCTACCTACTTACTGGGTTTAAATTAGGGTTATAAAATAGTTGAATAGAATAAGGATTATGATTGAATGTGATGGAGAAGATTTTGTAGCTCAGGTGGATGATGTTGATGGAGTTTTGTTCTCTGAACTGGATGGTTTGGGAGACACAACAGAAACAAAGGAGTAAACAATGACAAATTTAAGGTCATTAAGAACCAATCACTTTCGAGGTGTACAGAACAAGCTATGAAACGCATATGGAGAAATTCGAACACTTCACTTCTATCTGAAGTTTGTGCTGACGATGTCGTTCAGAAGAACGATGAATGCTCCACGACCAAACCATCCAGCTCATAGAACAAAAGTCCATCAAAATATGATTGAAAGTTGATAGTTAGAATTAAGAATAAGATTTTCGATTTTTCATCACAAACTAATATTAGCTTAAATGTCAAAACGTTATTTAGCTAAATGGATGAATGAATTCCGCGCTAAAATCAAAGACTCATTATCTTAAATCTGATTGGCTTGTCCATAAATTATAGTCCTGCTATATCAGTGTTAAACGTAGAATTAATTTGATACTCTTTAATTTGTTTTGTCGTTATGACATGATATCATAAGGTCACAAGGACCTTGGATAACCAATAGAAATAAGGTTTTAAATAGATATTCATTAGAAATAGTGATTGAAATATTATATTCTATAAAAAAATGTTACATAATATATTAATATCAGGTGGGTTCTGTGGATATTATAGTAATTTCAATGGTTAAGATCATGAGCCAGTTAAAGCTAGACCACCATAGAGATTCGAACCCAGGACCTACTGGTTTTACCCAGTAGGTCCTGGGTTCGAATCTCGCAGGGGAAGAGGTCGTGGATGCGCACAGCTGAGGAGTTCCACAATAGAACGAGACGGCCGTCCAGTGCTCCCAGGCTTTCCATGGTGGTCTAGCTTCAACTGACTCATGATGTTAACCATTGAAACATAATATATTAGCTCAAACTGAGACTTTCTCAATTACATCTTGCATAAATAATCTCATCCATCAGTCTCTATAAATACTAGTCATCACTTAAAGTTCTTATATGTCTGTAAATGATTTATTAATTAGTCTTTCATCTTTCCTGTTGGGCTGTTGAATCAGAGTTAATGTAATCTTTGGTGTTACACTATGATATATTTAATCAAATTGCGTTAGTCACTATTGAAACTGTAATTAGTAATAGATCAATAGCAGTATTTAACTAAAATTTAATGAAAAATGTATTTAAAGGAGTTTACAATGAAATAACAGGTAGTTTTATCTTTATTCTAATTGATCATGTCGGCCCTGATACGGCCGAGAGTGGGGAGAGTCAGCTCTCCTTCTCTAAATCCTCTCACATGGCCTTGCGTATACAGACACTGACAGGAAAGTCCTACTCACTGCCTTGTCATCAGTGTTCTTTACGAAATTGTGAGGACGAAAAATGGATGTTCGGCGCTTTAATCGAGTGAATGAATAAGGAGGATTCAACTAGAGGAGTTGTAAAACCTTGATTCCAAACCATTGGTGTACATGGGCTGCAGGATCCTGATGGAACAAATGGCGTATGAACCAGTCGTTGGTCGCTTCGTTTTGGGCAATCGGCAAGTATTACAGCCCATACACAAATCAAGTAACTTGTGTGCGGGGCATATTTATTCAGTGCCTCCTTGTACCAATATTTATGTGTTCAAATAAACAAATAAATAGCAATTGAAGTCGTCAGAAGTTAGAAAGCAAAACATTGCTCGAAAATAAGATCCACCAGTACAAAAAACCCTTCTTGTACTATATAACCGTCTTAAATCCTTTGAAATATCATCAAGGCATTTCAGTTCACACAAAAACTATTAATTTGTGAGATCAGTTAAATCAATAGTAACTATAACGAATCATATATGATACTAGACAATTGTTCCATAATCCTACGAATTGTGGAATACCTATTATTGAACTACTATTCAATAACTGATGGAAAACATTGTAGATCTAAGATAATGAGCTATTCAATTCAATTCTTCAGAGAATTAAAATAACCCATTGTTACATTGATTAACAATAAATAGTATTCAGTAAAGAACATTTTATCCTCTCGATGAAACCATTTACTTAAGCTATAGTTGTATGGTAATTATATGAGTCTATAGAAGAATAGAAAAGGTTGCATCATCACAATTGATTGATCACTGGGTGGTGATCAATGTCATGTGTGTCAAGTCTGACTATGAAGCTGGGTGACACGGGATCGAATCCGCCAAAGAGCACCAGTTCCCTCAAGTATAAGGTACATCTTGTTGACGGGTGCCAAGTAACACGAAACCCGGGTCCAGGGTTTCCTGTCGACTACCTTCGACCACCATCTAATCTCAAGGTTACATCATAAATTGGTTTGAGACTTCAAATATTAAACGAGGTTACGTAATAATCGGGGAGGGGGGTATACATAAAAAATTATCTTATATTCTAAATTTTAATGGAATGAGGATGATTATTTATAGGCAGATACAAACACATGATAACTATCTAAACAGCAAGTTAATAGTTTTATTATAAATAGTATTCAACTTACAATGCTTTTTCTAAATGTTTCACTGCTTCATCAATTTCTCCTTCTTCATATGATAAATGACATAACTCCATTTCACAATATGGTAAAAGATAAGTGTCCATTTTTAATTTTCGTTTACTAAACGAAACAATAATAATAATAAATGAATTCGAATAGACCTAAGATGATGAAGAAGATGTGTAGCTTAAATGGATGATTTGGATAAAGCTTTATCTTTTGTGCTAGATGGTTTGTTTAATTGTGGACATCATCTCTTCACAACCAAATCATTCGGCTCAGATAAAAAACTCAATCAAAATCATTTCACAGTAATACTCTATAGATTAAAATAATGGTATATGATTCTATTCCATGTGGGAAACACTTGTTCAATGTATATTGGTTTACAATAACTGTTCAGCTAATGTCAGTGTATAAGAATTCATTATAAAATTAAACACTATTAAAAGACCATTAGCACATATCTGATGTTAGATCAGTTAGTCATCAACAACCTAGAACTTCGTACGTACGTACGTATATCAGTTCGAGTTGACATACCACAGTAGCACAGAGATACAATTGTCGATTCAAGTCCCGTAGTGGTAAAGGTAGTAAAAGTATAGGCAGTAATCGGAACGATTAGGTTTTGAAGATTATGATCCATTAAAATAAATTTGGAAAGAGAAAAAAAAATAAAGAAACACGAAGAATTCAGAAGATTAGAATTTGGGAGAACACAAAGAGTGGATGCACCTGCGCCATTGCAAACAATTTTGAACCATGTCATTCAAGGTCTCTAATCATCGATTGTTTTCGTCTCGCAGATCTCAACAAGGTAGTCTACACCTACCAACATGGCTCAGTCTACTTGTTAAATAATTAAAGATGATCCATAGAAAGCTGTTTAGAGATGTAGGTTTCGTTATATTTGACACTCACTATAAGAATATTTCTTAAATTTTAAGTTAACTATCATTGCTCATGTAATTTGAACCATCGCCAAATAGTGTCACATTGACTTCTGTAAGATATTATATACTGCGTAAAACCTATATCCAAGGAGTTCTGATGATTGCACCAACCATGCTATCATTCAATAATAGTTTATATGATCTGAACTCATCTTAATCAGTGACTACAAAGTAACCATATCGGAAAATAATGACTAGTACTTACTTACGCCTGTTACTCCCAATGGAGCATAGGCATCAGATCCACCGTGTTCATCAATGATGCTGCCCAGATATGCAAAGGTTTTTACATCTTTCGAATCTTCTGCGTCAAGTGTCATTCGATTGTTGCATACTGTGTTGTGTCAGAAAATCTAGCTTTTCCCTTTGTGTATGTTGAGACCTACTGCTGATGCTACAATGACTAGTACTAACAACTAAACAAACATGAAATTATCATAGTTCAGTTCGTAAACCGATCATGCTTGGACTACAATTAAATATGTGGAAGCACTGGGCGAGCATTTCTTCTCCCATTATGAGACTCCTCAGTAATGCTCATCCTCAACTCATCATCCTGGAATACAATTCATAATATTGGTTCCTTACACATGAATAATAATGAAATATATTTCAAAATGTTCCATTGTAAATTGAATTACACAACACTTACGATTGTATTATTTCAGTGAAACACATATAAGCTTGAAATGCTTGACCACGACATCTAAGACAAACTCCTTTAAGCATTAAAGCTAAACAATAATCATCATAAAATGTTTCACTTGTATCTAAAGATAAACATAAACATGATAGATAGATAGATAAAAGGGAATAATATATGTGATTTTCAAATAATCTACTCACTTGAATTATCAATGTGAACTATACCATTACAAATCAGATAATCTAAAGGACTTAGGGTTTTGTGCTAGTTGGTAAACGTCGATATAGTGTGTATATTCAGGTAATTAGCACTCTTCATAGGATTCAAGCATGCTTCATCGAACCTCATCGTTTTACATGTAAGTTTTTAACAATTGAAACTTCTTATAACCTACATTAAGACTCAAATACTTACAATTGAATAGTGACCGATATCATAATTGTCCAATCTTTAGTTCTAATCGAATTTAATCAGTTAAGTTACTAGTCATAGTGATACCTTTTTACCTAGCTCCAGCTAGTACGAACTATAGATCCAAAATTTCCTGTTGAGTACGTCCAATCAATAAACAGTAAAATATAATACAAGCTAAGTTGAGTCACCCAAACTAGACTCTTATTACTACTCGGTGATCAACTAGTATAGGAACTAGATATTATTTCAATATATGACTCTCTTCCTGTAATCTATGCATTTTAACTTGGTCTCCTAAGTCAGTCGGTAACAACGTAGAACGTTAAAAAAATTTAGCTTTTGATACACTTTAACTATTTAGTATTGTTTCACTGACAGATTATGTAATTTCATTCAAACTACTATTCCGTCTAATTCATTTGATTGTTGCAATTGATCAGTCTTTTATTGATATATATGCATTCTGTACGGGCTATCTTGAGATTGTCCTAAGTCACAATGCTTATAAGCAAAGATAAGTAGTGGCTAGCAATGGAATCTAAGACGTGTGTTTCGTCCTATTTAGGAGTCATCAGCTGGATATACTTTACACATTGTCATCATAAAAAAAAGAGAGAAAAATCATCATCTCACCTCTATTTTGAAATAATTCATTGATTTTATTCTCACATATCATAATAAATGCTGTTATAGCATCTGGTTGTGATTGAATCATTTTGAATCCATTCCAAATGAATATAAGTTCCTGTGGTTCAATAAAAAAAGACGAATGACATACCTATTATTTCATGATAAACTTCTTACTACTTAAATGAAAAAATAAGTAGAATAATTGCGTGAACAACACATCAAAATCAAGTTGAAAATAAGTGTGTTACAATGTTATAACTTGTGCCCTATCTCTTATTAGTGTATAACGTGATGATATCGCCAATTAGAGAAAAGTGAATTATCGACCGGACCAATGACGTATAAAGTCGTACGAGCAGTTTACAGTCTTTATCGGTTCTTCTCCATGCTTGTTAACTCCAGAACACCAGTCTCAGCCTCCACGATCTCAATCATGTATTTCAAACATACTGTGTTTATATACACCAGCCAAACAGACCACATCGTACCATAAAATAGGAAATACACATTTGTACAAGATTTAACCAAAAGTGGCTGTGAATGTGGGAGATTGTAATTAAATAAACTGGGCATAACTCAAGTACGATAAATCGTCTGTGGGTCAAAATAAAAGCTTGAAATAAAAGGAATATGAATATGCATAGTTTAGTTACTTAAAGATTATACAATTAAAATACATGTATCGTATTAGTTCAGTAACAGATTCCAACAGTTATCATTCATTATTTTCGTCACATTAAGTATAATCATCATATTTTCGGCTTCGATTCATGGCTTATATTTACAAAGAATACATTTAGTATAAGCAACTCAATAATGATATAAATTCTATATTGATGATAGAATCACTGATTAGTTCTCAAAATGAATCCTAGAATGTTTCGAACCACATGATAAGCTTCACCTTAAAAAAAAGGGTATTATAAGTGTATAGTATGTGACATCTGAACGTACCTTATTACTGGAGTCATTTCAACTCCTAATTATTTATTTATTTTAACACATAGATATTGGTGCAAGGAGTGACCAAATACATATGCGTCACACAAATCTCGTTTGATATGTGTGAGGGCTGTGATACTGACCAGGTGCCCGAACCGAAGCAGTTCGTTTTCTTAGGGGGCCACACCCGAAGCCTTCGATCTGAAAGTCTGGTCCACAAGGCAGTGGAGCATCGTAAGGAGATGCAGTCCCATGATAGCCAGTGACCAATAATTAGTTCATACGCCTTACGTTCCCTCAGGGTACTGGAGCCCGTGTGCACCATTGGTTTGGAATCAGGGTTTTCCAACTCCTCTAAGTGGACTCTCCATGTCCACCAACCCTGTTAAAGTGCCGAACATTCGCTTTTCGTTCTCTCAATCTCATATACAACACCTCAGTCACGAGAAAGCAATGAGTAGGGCTTCCCTGGCAGAGGCTATATACGCGTGGCTATGTGAGAGCATTTGAAGAGGGAGAGCAGACTCTCCCCACTATCGGCCGTACCAGGGCATTTGGGGGCAAATGTTACTTAGATTACATTTAGAGTACTAGATATATATAGTAAGGGATGAAATATCACTATTGGGCAAATTAATATGAGTCGTACTGTTTAAATAACGATAAGACTTTCCCTTTGAACAATAGTTATTTTGAACTATACACAATATGGTTAGTATTTACCGGAAAATTTATCTAGTTTTTATCATTAATTATACTTTTAGTGTCCTAGTACAACGTGAACTGTATTATAAAAATAAAGGGAAATACTGATTGAGATCATGAACTAACCAATGTTAGGTCACCACAGAAAAGAAGTTTTGTCACAGTATTGGACTCTTCAGTCAGTCAGTAACAACGTAGAACTTCGTACGTACGTACATCAGTTCGAGTTGCCACACCACCTTAACACAGAGATGCAGTTGTCGATCCAAATCCCGTAGTGGTAGAGGTAACAAGAGTGTAAGCAGTGTTTGGGAAGATTAGGGTTTGGAGATGTTATTTAAAGAGTATAATTCAGTGAAATAAATTTGGAAAGAGGAAAAGAAAGGGACATGAAGAATTCAGAAGATTAGAATTTGGGAGAACACAAAGAGTGGATGCATCTGCGCCATTGCAAACGATTTTGAGCCATGTCATTCAGGGTCTCTAACCATCGGTTGCTATCATCTCGCGGTCCCCAACCAGGTAGTCTACACCTATCAACATCACTCAGACCACTTGTCTGTGACTTCATGGACTTGTGCCATGTTTTGGTCTGGCCGCCCCTAGCTTTCTTCCAACCTACTCCTATACCATTGAACATCGCACGTCGAGGCAGTCGGTCGTTGGGCATACCTAACACGTGTCCATTTCCTATATGAACCAGAAATATATCGCAAAGTGCAAGTCATCACAATGACTGTTCAGGTAAGATCTAATGGAGTGCATTACATTATTACTTATAATGATTACATTAGAAATTCTAGTATAAACTTACTAAAGCTGGAAGTGTTAATCTTTTACTCTGTGCAAAATATCGTGAAGACTTTCTCAAAGCAATTTTCTCAATTGGTAGTGATCGACCACCGAAACGTTTTATCATATGCGGTATATCTCTATAAAAAAGAAATACATCTAAATTTTTATGAGAAATATCATGGCAAGTAAAACACTTGAACAGTTTGACTATTGGAAGTTATTATTACGAAGAATACGTGTTTAACAATATAAATTTTTACTATTTTATTTAAACATATAAACATTGGAACAAGGAGGCACCAAATAGATATGCGACACATAAATCATTCGATTTATGTGACGGCAGGGATACTGTGTGGGTGCCCAAAACGAAGCAGGGGGTTTTATTAAAGAGCCACTCCTCGATCCTTTGACCGAAAGGTATAATCCACAAGGCATTGGAGCAACGCAAGGAGATAAAGTCCCATGGTAGCCAGTGATCACCAACAGGTTCGTTCACCATTTATTGCATCAGGATCCTGGAGTCCATGTGCATCACTGGTTCGAGATCAGAGTTTTTGATCTCCCTTAGGTGGATCCTCTATGTGCACTTACCCGGTTAAAGCTTCGGACATCCACGTTTCGTCCTCACAATTTCGTAAGCATCACTGGTGCCGTGACAAAACAGTGAGTAGAACTTCCCTGTCAGTAATTGTATACGCGTGGCCATGTCAGAGCATTTCGATAGGGAGAGCTAACTCTTCCCACTCTCGAACGTATCAGGGCATTTGGGGGCAAATATGAATCAAAGTCTATTGTAGTGGCATAATTAAAAGTACGGAGTACTGCATCAACATTTTATTTCGCTTTAAAATTCATCAGTAATAGTTCATATTTACAAACCTTTTAGTGATAAAATCCAAGACATTCGTACTTTTAAAGAGCTGCTTTAAAATTCAATGGTATTCTTCAACTAATTCATGATAATGTTTGAAGATCAACTATACCAGGAAAGAATAAATGTCTAATATTCAATTTTAAGAGCTTCTTCAATTGATAACAATGCATGATGTATGCGTTTCTTGATCAACTTTATCTCAACAAAAACTCTAGACATGGCAGAAGGTTAAAAAGATCGAACAAAAGAGAACGAGAACAGCGAATAGTTGATGTGGGAACGAAAGAAAAATGAAGTTTGAGACGATGAATTAACATTTTGCAAATAAAGTATCTATTTTATGATTCCTAGATTTTACTAAGAGATTCTGTAATTTGTGTATTCAAATACATTCGATTGTCTCGCACTTGTGTTCTCATTCACCACATAAGAACGTTTATAGCATCAGACATTAATCTTGACTATTACTTGTAATGTATTAATGCTACAGACGAAATTCTTAAAGTATAGAATGATATTCACTATAAATAACAGACTGATCTGATGTATCGAGATCATGTTAGTTGTGATTGGTCAGTGAGTAAAGACAGACACAATTGGATACATCATGTGTATTACGCTAATTTTATAGTAGAAATCAATTTTTTCTGTGTTAATCTACTACTGTTATTAATATCTGGTTCGTAAGAAAACGGTCAGACAAATGTAGTTGTCGTTGTGTTATACGACCCATGTCCAAAGTATAACACTGTCAGTAGTGAAACACAATGTACACACATGACATTGATCACCACCCAGTGATCAATCAATTATGAATACATCTCAGTCCTACAGAAGATCAGTTGCGGCCAGGATAGCCCAATGGTACAATCTCTGACTGTGAAGCTGGGTCACACACGGTCGAATCCGTTAGGGAGCACCAGTTCTCTCAAGATTACAGGTACACATTTCTGACGTGCCAGATAGCACGAAACCCGGGTCCAGGATTTCCTGTCGGCCCCCCCAAATCACCATCTTATCCCAACATAGTGCACGCAATGTCAGGTCATCTACACTAGTGGGCGCATCGCAACTTGGTCGATACCATTCGATCTACACTAAAAAAAGACCCAACATACATTATATTGATCATCACCTAGTGATCAACCAATTGTGAGTAGTGATACTATCTTTATTTTAAGGAGTTTTCGAATTCTATCATAAAACATTATTAAATCAAAAAAAAGTAGTGAATCACTGTAATAACTAACTAATGTTGTACCTATCATATTTAAATAACTAAACTTAAGTAAAACTGTTCATATATATATACTAAATTCAGTCAGTATATTAACATATTACTATGAAGTTTCATGCAAGGGCCGCATTCTTACAATTGAAGAACATATGGAACTCAGAAAAACTATCAACAAATGTCAAAGTCACAATCTTCCATACGAATGTCAAAGCAGTTCTACTGTACGGAGCTGAAACTTAAAGAACTACTACAATCATCATCAAGAAGGTATAAGTATTTATAAAGAGTTGTCTACGCATATGCTCATCATCCATTGCCCGGATACCATCAGCAACAGCCCTCCAAGGCAGAGAACAAACCAGCTTCCAACCGAAGAAGAAATTAGGAAAAGACGTTGGAAATGGATAGGACATACAATACGCTAATAATTAAACTGCATCACGAGGCAAGCTCTGACTTGGAATCCTGAAGAGGAACGGAAAAGCGGAAGGCCAAACAACACACTATGTCGAGAATTGGAAGCGGATATGAAAAGTATGAATAACAACCGGAAAGAGCTGGAAAGGATTGCCCAGGACAGGGTTGGATGGAAAATGCTGTTGAGCGGCCTTTGTTCCTTCACGAGGAGCAACAGGCATAAGTAAGTAAGTATGATGTTTCATGTTATCGTATTCTGTTCATTCTGTTCACATCAATACTAGTCGCTAAATATAAGAGAAATGATAAGGATAGACATAGTATTCCCATTTCATCTCATGAATATTAGTACAATCATCATAGTTTATCTGTATTAAAATGGTTATCAATAAAGATCTTTAAATATATGTGTAACAGGCTATCAAGTATTATTATTCTAACTAAAATAGTTAGAAAATAAAGAAAACTAAATGGTTTTCATTCATTTTCATTCATTAACTTCGCCTGTAGCTCTTCCAGAGTTATTTCCGGTCCGAAGTCTGGGTAAAAGAAGAAGGCTGAGCACGGGGTTAACAACCCCATTCCGTAAATAACTCTCTGACCAGAAAATAAACGATTTCATTCATTTTTTAAGGTTTTCTATGCTTTGAATCAAAACTTGATTTGAGCTTGATTATTGATATAACATTAAGTTGAGCATTTATTTAAAGTTGACAAAATGAAATGCAGTTTACAAAATTACTCAGTAACTAACTAGATAACAAGATGACGTTTGAAATGAACGGTAGTGAGTTCAAGTCCCAAAGTGAACATCAATTCTGAGATATAGGTACATCCAGCTGACGAGAGCTGAATAGGACGAAACGCTCGTCCTGTATTCTACTGTTAACCACTTTCCATCTTTATCAAATTGGAGAGTTTATAAATTCTTAGATAATGTGTTTAACTAAAGAATCTATTTGATAACAATAACTTACGTTAATAATTGATCAACCACTTCTTGTGGTTTTTCAATTACACCATCATGATTTTTCATTTCATATGCAGTACGATCTTCTATACTTTGTAAAAGGAAAGCTGCTTTCATATATCTATAAGACGCTTGACTCCATCGACTTTCTAATGCTAATTTCTCTGTGTATAAAATTGCTTTTTGCCAATCTGCTTGTAATCTGTAAATATGAAATACAATGAGTAGAATGAAGTTGTCCTGCTTTCAACCATTTGAATAATCAGTTTTTTTCCAAGAAGAATATTTGAAAGCGATAACTTAGGAGATCCAAATTAACCCATGTTTCTGTTATTCGAAACTAGTTATTGAAGTGTATCTTCTATTTTCCGAAATCCGACAGTTTCTATAGAATTCTAAGGATAAGATTACCATGACATTGGTCACTGCTTACTAATCAAGCAGTATTTACTTGATTTCTATCAATTCAATTCTTTATATAGTAAAATATTTGTTGTCATGGAACGTACGAAAATGATATCAAGTTTGTGATTGAGATAACGAACCGATTGATGTTAGACCACCGTTGGAAACCTAGAAGCACTGGACGGCCGTTTCATCCCTCAATGTTGAACTCCGCTCTAAGGATTCCAACCCAGAGCCCTCAGTCTCGAATCTCGCGAGCGGGATCATGAATGCACACTGCTGAGGAGTCCCACAATAAGACGAAACAGCCATCCAGTGCTTCCAGGTTTCCAACGGTGGTCTAACATCAACCGGTTCATGGTCTCTATCAGAAACTTAATAATCTCCATAACCCCTATACTGATATCACATTTGTTTTCAACACAAATTCAGTTTTATGACAATTGTTTGCACCATATACTGGTTTCAGTTTCATAACTTTGCATTGATCTACCTGTCTCTAGTCTTTTACAAATTACTCCAAAAATAGGCAATGGTTTGAAATGTCTGTACTACATATTAAATCGATGCGTTTTATAGCCTAATCGATCACAAAATTTTCAATGATACAAAGGTTACCAAACTTTTGATACAAATTTCAAAGGTGGTTAGAAATAAGGATGTCAATATCATTATTACAGTATCATGTATGTTATTGAATGTGTTATCTATTCACTACTTCATATTAGATCATGCTTGCATCCTGAATACAATGTTCATGTTGCTGTGCTAACGAGGTATTGCAACTTGGACCGATGCATATATATGTGCCTGATCCTACGTTGTAGCTGACTGAATCGACTATCACCATTAAATTCATTTACTGAATGTTCAAAAAATTGAATAAACGAATTAACCATTAAAAATATTCTGTTTATTTGATTAAACTAATCATTTGAAGATTCATGATAGATTTTGTTGTACACTAAAAGCAAACTGATCAGCTTAACAATTAGCATCACTAACTTTATTCTTGATCAAAACAGGAGATTATTCTAATATTCACTATTATACAATCTCATCAAGTTATTGATCAATAGTTAATTAATCTAACATATTTATTATACTCAATTGATGATATTCTAAGTTCATAAAATAAGTGTAATACAATGATTGTTGAAACTTGTTATAACTGTTGGGCCATGTGCACTGGTTAATGGATAATGTAACAATACCGTCAGTTAGAGAGCAATGAATTATTGATCCAACCAATGACGCATAAAACACGTACGAACAGTCTAGAGTCCTTAATGGTCCAACTTCTTGCCTAGCCAAACCAGTTACGTCCAGAACACCAATCTCAGCCTCTGATATATGAATCGTTTATTTCAAGCGCATTGGGTTTATATACCAACCAGACAGACCACATCGTACCATAAAATAGGAAATGACAGTTGTACAAAATCTAGCCCAAAGTGGATGTGAATGTGGGAGGTAGTAATTAATAGACAGGGCATATCTCAAGAATGGTAAATCTTATAATAATAGATCATAGATTAAAATAAAGTTCATAATAAGAGGAACATGAATATGAATAGTTTAGTTACGTAATAATTATACGACAAAAATAAACGTTTAGTATTGGTCCATAAATGGATTCCGAAAGTTACCATTCATTATTCTCATCGGGATATAATAAGAAAACTATTATAGATCCCAATGATGTACATTATTTAGATGTCGATTGACTGAACTGCTAACATTTAACTGACGATCCCTCAGTATTGAGATCATGAACCGTTTCATATTAGACCACCATTGAAAACTTAGGAGCCGTTTTGTTCTATTGTGGGTCTCCTCAGCAGTGCACGTCCAAGATTCGAACCCAGGGTCTTCAGTCTCGCGCGTGAACGCTCAACGTTTTGGACCACTGAGCTCAATTCTACGGCATACCAATGATTGTGATTTTCAATGAGATTCAGAACATATATTTCACCTTACTGAATCACTCTAGCTTGTATGTAAGTACATTTAGAATGGATACATTCTAACAAAGATTGATTGAAATTTAAGCCTAAACATCAAATGCTTTTCAATATCAGTTCATTGTTAAAAACTATTTATCCTCTAGTAGATTAAAAACTATCCGATTAAAGATGGATTAAAGTAAATAATAAATGGGGGGGGAAGATTTCTTTTATCAGTTTCACACCAACGGGAGTTGTATTATTAAGAGATCTAATCAGTAATGATCATCTTAAAAAGAAAATTCAATTTCTATTCAAGTAACATACAAGTAATCAAGTAAACTTACGCATAACACCATATTAATTCCCAATAACATAAATGATGATAATGTATCCAATCAGATTGTGAATTTATTGAACGTTGAAATAATGTGATAGCCTTTAAAATAATGAAAATATCAAATAAATCGAAGTGACCTAGAGTATTCCTCGAAAAAAGACCTAAATGGACCTTAAAAAACACTAGAAAACATTTTATCTAATCAATATTGGATAGAACTTTTTTTAGAAACTAATCTGTTCCGAAATCTCTGTCGTCAATTGTTATAACTTGTAAATCAAATGCTTACTTGTTGTTATATCTAGTCGTTGCTGATTGTTTTGTCGGAAACGTTTATCACTTATACTTGGAACGAGTGACCTTCGCATTTAGAAAATGAAGAATCATGTATCAAATTTCTAATTGGATGATTATCTTGTTCTGCTACTATGTTTAGTAGGATTCCAGATTCTTTCAGAAGCCCAAAAGGCTATCTGAAATGCTCTTTACATCTTTCAAGCCATTTTTTCATGCTTAAGTCGTCGTATGGATTTAGTTTGAACTTAGTATAGCAGCAGCAGTAGGTCTCAATATACACAAAGGGAAAAGCAAGATTCTCCGATACAACACAGCATGCGCCAATCCAATCACAATTGACGGAGAAGATTTAGATGTGAAAAGCTTTACATATCTGGGCAGGATCATTGATGAACAAGGTGGATCTGATGCAGATGTGAAGGCGCGGATCAGCAAAGCAAGAGCAGCATATTTACAACTGAGAGGATCATGTTTAAATTTAGATTGACAAATTACAAATGAATAACTATTATCATATCATTTCAACTAAAGACTAGAGGTTTAAAACTCATATCTATCACATATATTTCCCCATTGAGATCCTACTTGATCTCTGAAGGTTCTGTTCAAAATAGATACCATTATATCAAAACAATAAAGAAAAATATTTCAAGGGTTAAGGTAATGAGTCAGTTGAAGCTAGACCATCATGGAAAACCTAGAAGCACTGAACGGCAGTTTCGTCCTATCATGGGACTCCGCAGCCGTCCAGTGCTTCCAGGTTTACCGTGGTGGTCTAGCTTCAACTGACTCATGATCTTAACCATTGAAATTACTATAATATCTACAATACCCATCTGATATTAAAAGGATGTTTGTTTACTTGATGTAAATTTCCAGATATTTCTTCTAAACGACCAGATAATAATAAAAATATAGCACTATTTGGATATACAATAGACCAATGATCTAATAATTCACGAGCTTCTTTCATATGTTCTGGTTGTTCAGAAGCTTAAAGAAAATGATTGAAGAATAATTTGACGAAAACTTCATTTCTTTATGATATAAAACTATTATTCTTTGAATGTCAAAACTGAATTGTTACGTAATGTAAACGCATAGCTAATGAAATTTTTTATTCATCAATCTCCGTGAATGGTAGAGAAGATTTATAGCTTAGATGGATTATTTTGGTGGGGTTTCGTTCTCTGAACTGGATAATTTGTTCGACCAAACCATGAATAATAATGATAAGCATCTGTTCCCTAATGATTGAGTTCAGCATCCCAATGCGTAGTCTCAATCTGTCGAGTTTGACCACATAGATACCGAGTTATAACAGTAAACCATGAGATAATAAAGAGCGGCCTGCTTGAGCACCTGGGCTACCTGCTCCTGCCATCTAAATATTTCAACAAGTTATCCATTTTTGTTTGTTTTAATATATCATTATGTCTATTAATCTCATAACCTATTCTGCTGCGTTTCTGAAAAGCGTACAACCCTTCGTTGTCAAAGTTACAAAAACTCAATAAGAGACAATGTGGTTACTGGCAATATACAACGAAAAGAATGTACATTATTCAGATGTTCATTTACTGAACTGCTAACATCTAACTGGCGATCACCCAATATTTATCGCCAGGACCGACCAAGAAGAAAGAAACAGAAACTTGTTGAAATACTTTGTGCTGAGAATTCTATATTGTAGCAAAAATATAATATTGAATAAAGCTGTTGATAATAATTATTAATTAATAATTATTATAATATTCTCAAGATAAACTGCTAGCCAAGTTTGATCTTCTATGAAGTTGTAGGTGTGTACGACGGAGTAGTTTAATACTCGTAAGAATCAGCTGTCCATCGTTTGCTGGTTTCTAATTGTTATCTAACTCTTAATGATTTCACAAATTAATACAAGTAACTTCATCATTATTAAGCAATCACTTAAAAGATGTTGAATAAATCGAATTCGAATGATGTGAAATGAATGACATCAAAAGGGATACAATTAAGTCATGTAACGAATTTTTTTCGTTCTTTTCATTTCACAATCTATGTCACAAAAAAACTGTATCGAGGATGTTGGCAACAATAATTGGTCAGCTGTAATGAATAACAATTGCATAAAACAATTTCTTACAATAAACAAGAAATAATAATTATCATTTAGAATTATTAACTAATTGTAGTTTGTTATGAATCACATCTTTATAATTTTCGCCCCCGAATACCTTGATACGGCCATGAGTGGGGTGAGTCAGCCCTCCCTCTCTAAATGCTCTCACATGGCCACGTGTATACAACCACTGGCAGAGAAGTCCTACTCACTGCCTTCTCGTGACAGAGGTGTTGTTTCCGAAATACAGAGAACGAAAGGCGAATGTCCGACGCTTTAACCGGATTAGTAGATATGAAAGATCAACCTAGAGGAGTTCGAAAATACTGATTCCAAACCAGTAGTTCACAGCGGCTCCAGGATCCTAAGGGAACAAATGGCGTATGAACCAACTGTTGGTCAGCGGCTACCATGGGACTGCATCTCCTTACGTTCCTCCATTGCCTTGTGTATTAGACCTTTAAATCAAAGGCTCCGGGTGTGGCCCCCTAAAAAATCCACCTGGTTAGGTTTGGGCACCCGGACAGTATCCCAGCCCTCATACAAGTCGAGTGATTTAAGTGTCGCATATCCATTTGACGCTTCCTTTATTATTGGTCAGTCCTATCTAATACAAAACGTAGATCTATAGTTTCTTCCAATCTATCTTAAATCAAGTCCGGCATCTGATTGTGAGGCTGGGTGAGACGGGATCAGATCCTTCAAGGAGCACCAGTTCCCTCAAGATTGCAGGTACACCTTGCTGACAAGTGCCAAGAGTTTCCTGTTGACTACCTCCAACCAACTTCTCATAACCAATTTACGTTTCAACACAAAACTATGAAGTTCTTTAATAAACAATAAAAATCATAGATTAAATAACTCAATTGTAAATCTTCCATCAATTGTACTTCATATTCTATATGATTTTCAAATTCATGATTTTCTATATTTCCTTTATTATTCTGTTCAACTTGATATTCTTAACCTTGTGCTACTAGGGATTCAATTTCTAAATGGTGTTACATAATACTTATGTCTGTCGAAATAAGTAGCATACAGTAAAGTGTTATTGAACTGATTTTTTAGCAAATATATAAACTAATCAACACAAGAATTCACTTGCTCTTGTTTTACTTGTATCTTTCGATTGTTTTTTAGGACTGAAATTGATCATTTTCATGTTGGCATTTGTGCATTCGGTGTGGATGGCCTTAGGTTATAAGCTTTTTAAACAAAGATAGATAGTGGATAGCAGTGGAATTTAGGACACGCGTTTCGTCCTATTTGGGACTCATCAGCTGGATGTAAATGCATCGCAGGTTTTACTTAAGTAAAACAACACCGAGTAAATTTAAACCTCACCCTATTGTACAAGCAGGTGGCTATCAGGACTCAGTAGATTAGTGGATAGATCGATGGCGTTTGAAGCGAACGGTACTGAGCTCGAGTCCCGGAGTGAACATCAACAAGTCTGTGATGCAGGTACATCTAGCTTATGAGTCCAAAATAGGACGAAACATGAGTCCTGAATCCCACTACTAGCCACTATCCATCTTTAATCAACACAAGAATATACTGCTAATGAGATGATAGATACTTTTGGTGAATATGTGGTCTTCGAACTAAATAGATTAATCCATAAGCTTTCTAAAATTTATTATGATCATCAGAAAACCAATTTTTTTAGCATTTACTAATAATAATGATACAAATTTACCAGATGACTCCTAACTATGAAATAGATTTTCGGAAGTTATCATATGACATCATGAGAGAATAGTAGTAGAATATGATGGATAGTAGATGATGACCACGCTTCATTGTAAATTAATCAAAGTTTAATGTCACTAACTGAACTATTATATACAATGACTTAAAGATATGACCCTTAACTCTGAAATTTAGTTCAATTTCAATTCAATCTCCTTCGTGCAGATTATGAACAAGTCTCAAGCTAAAATGAGATATTTATTCTTTAATACTTGATTTTTAATAGTGCTACTGATATAAGTTAGATATAAGTAGTAAGTATCATCAATCGAAAGTGAAATGACCAATGGCAGAAGGTTAAAGAAATTGAAGAAAAGAGAATGATTGGTGTGGAGACGAATAAACAATGAAGTCTAAGACAATTGATTGAATGAACTAAAGTATTTACTGTATGCATCATAGATACTACTAAGATACTCTCTGTAAAATTGTATTCAAATACATTCGATTAGTCCTCACTGAGTGTTCTCGATTCACTAAAATATTAAATAAACAATCAATAAAAAAGATCATTATCATTCAAATGGTTGAACTTACATACACTGACAACACTGTCACCTACAAATATATAAATTGTATACATAGAACCGAGTTGATTAAAATCTTATTCTAAAATGAAATACTTTTCAATGGGTTATATAATTAAAGTCATTCAACTGCGCAAATGATCTTCATACATAGTTAACTAAATCAATATACAGTCATTTCTAATATAGAATTGAATGGAATAGAAATTAAAGATGATTTAATCAAGTGATCTATTCTACTTCTTGAAAGAAGTTGAAATGTGTTATGTTATTCAGTGTAGACCATATGATTTAGATCAGAACAATTATCATAACGGATCAATATAAAGACGTTAAGTTACAAGACTTGGAATAGATCATATTAGGGTGGATAAATTCAATCTTAAGTTGTAAAATTACTTTGCACTTCATAAAGGTATTCTTACTTCTTGAGTTATATTGTTACCCTAATACCATTGATGATGATGTCATAACTTCTATTAATCTGTTATTTGACATGTTAATTTCATCTCGCTGTATTTGTTATAACTTGTGGCCTGTGTACCCTGTTAATGGATAACGTAACGATACCATCAATTAGAGAGCAATGAATTATCGATCGGACCAATGACGCATAAAACACACATACGAGCAGTCTAGAGTTCTCAATGGTCCTGCTTCTTGCCTAACCAAACCAGTTACGTCCAGAACACCAATCTCCGCCTCTGATATATGAATCGTTTATTTCAAGCGTATTGGGTTTATATACCAACCAGACAGACCACATCGTACCATAAAATAGGAAATGACATTTGTGCAAAATCTAGCCCAAAGTGGATGTGAATGTGGGAGATCGTATTTGTTAGATAGGGCCTAATTCAAGAATGGTAAATCGTATAATGATAGTTCATAAGTCAAAATAAAGCTCATAATAAGAGGGACAGGAATATGTATAGTCTACTTATTTAACAATTATACAATAAGAAATATACGCATAGTACTGGTCTATAAATGGATCCCAAAAGCTACTATTCATTGTTCTCATCGGGATATAACAGTTTTGATGTTGTATACATGTGAAATGTAAACGATTACGTATCTACACTACAGACAATTGTGGACTGTAACGCATTTTCCTGCACTCCAGATATGGAAATCCCTAATTACACGTAAAAACTACAGAGTAAACTGCAAAGATTGCGTTTACTTTACTTTCTTCAATGCTCCAGTCCCACTGTCTTTGCAAGGTTCTCCTCCTATCCTGAAGAGTCAAAAGGCTTCCGATAATTAGTTGGGCGAGAATAATACTACCATACGGTAAAGTCTATTAAAGTAAATGAAGAGATAGTTTTGTAGATATTCAAATGAAGGTTTTAACCTATATTATTAATCGCAGACTGGCCGTTTTTTTAAAATCCAGCTAACTTACTTACATTATTTTTATACATAACTATATGTGACTATTCAAAAGTAAATTTCAGTACAGATATACCTAATTTCAGTGCATCCAATTATCTTATTATGTAAACCAACCATTTAGAATACTTTATTTCACTCACTCAATAACTTCTCCTCACTGTTGATGTTTATTTTAATTAGATGCATCATTGTAATTGTCTAATTATCAAAAGGAAATTAAATTTTACTTATTCAATGTCGACATAAAAAGTTTTCATTATGCTAGAATACTACTTACCTAACATATGAGTAGCATATAAATCATATGCTAACAATAATAGAGCACATAACGGACCACGTAATGAATCTTTCATACCTGCACCCATTCTAAGTTGTTCTAAGCCGAATTGCTGAATACATAAAAAAATGAAGTGTAGTGTAATCAAAATTAAATGATATCTTGTCAAAAGATATAACATTAAACTGATCAATAACACCAACAAACTCATACACACACATTCACTTCTACCTGAAATTCGTGCTGATGTGATGTCGTTCAGAAGAACGATGAAAGTTCCACGACCAAACCATCTATCAGAGAACAAAACTCCAAAAAAACATTCTTTTTCAAAACAGTTTTGAACATTAACCGATAAAAAATGTAAGATGAAGTATTTAGCTTCAAGAACTATTGAATATGCCCTATGAAATTTAGCCTCCCTGTGTAACAGCTGATTGAAGATGAAAACATTTAGCGTGTTTGAAAATTTTGTGCAAACAAAACAAATCAGGTGATGTGTCATTCGTATTCATCTCAGATTTTACTTGAGATAGAATTTAAAATCAGACAGCCTTAGACAGATATTTCGTTTCAGTATGCGACTAATTATTAGTGTGTACTTACAACTGGTCATTCCACTAGTACCTTTTAAATGTTCCCAAATTTCTTGTGAGAACTTGTTACTTGTGGAATTCATACATATCTTAGATGAAACTAGTGTTGATACTAGCAATGGTTGATCTATGAGCTTCATCACAAACTTGTTGATGTTAGAATTTTACTTTTTTTGTCGGATCCTTGGCTTTTATGGTTAATCTCTTGTTGCATGACCTAAAAATTGTGGGTTTGATTTAAAGTGAATACACTTCTTTTACATGGTTCAAAAACTCATCAAGTGTTGAAAGTGATTCACAAGTTCTAAAATTGTAATACATGCAGTAGAGAAAATCATCCATATGGCTTCATAATAATCGGCCACTGGAGCCATGATAAGGTCACAAAAACTCTTTCAACCTCGACTACATAACTTCAGTATTGTTTATGTGCACTCCGGTTGTTGAGCACACAAAATACTACTTGTGGATAACGATACGATGCACATAAACAAGTCTAAGTAGTCTTCTGTACGCTCTCCAATCATCTGTATATATTGTAGTACATGGCTGCATCCAGTGTTATTGGTTCTTTTATTTTCCAGTTCTCAATAATTGTCATAATTTGCCTTAGTCTCAATTTCGATCAAGCGAAAAATTTCCATTCTAGCAGACTTCTCCCTACAACACATATTACATCGAAAGACAACATCATGGCGGTAATCTGCACGAGATCCACAAATCATTTGATTACTACAATCACAAGTAAAGGAACTTCTTAGAAGTCTCATTTGCTGTAGGGTGTCCACTTACTAACTAGAACTAAATAAGGATTATAAACTAGTGTGAAGAATTAGAATTATGATTTAAAGTTAATGATTAGGGGTTAGGAATTAGATTTAAGGTTTTTATCAAGAACCGATATCAGCTAAAATGCTAAAACAATATTTAACCAAATGAACAGATGAACTTCGCGCCAAAATCTCAGACGTGTTATCTTATATTTGATTGGTTCGTCCTTAAATGATAGTCTTGCCCCTTACTTTATTATTCGATTATGTACACTCATTGCATACTCAATTTCTTTTGGTTACATATGAAATCCTCCTGTCTATTGATTTCAGTATTACATAATAGTCTAAATAGATGACATTGATAACTAAATGTCATGGAATCAATGTCAAAATATTAATAATTGGGCTAATGTTTTAGGGCCATTGCTTGATATTTTTAATTTTTCAAATTTACTTTATTACACGTTAAATAACAAAGAATATTGCAACTAATGACAGGAAAAGGTGATATTCCTATATGGAAGAGAATAAACCAACATTCATCTTAAGAGCAAATCAGGAAAAGACACTCAAAGTGGATAAGACATACATTACGAAAATCATCAAACTGTATGACAAAGCAGACACTAACTTAAAATCCTGAAAAGAAACAGAAACGTGGAAGGCTGGCTGAATAACACACAACGTCGAGAATTGGAAACAGACATTAAAACGATGAATAGCAACTAGAAACAACTGAAAAGGATTGACCAGGACGGTATTTGATAAAGAATCCTTTTGGGTGGTCTATGCTTCTCCACCATCGGTAACAAGAGTAAGTAAGTAATTATTATATATGTAAATGTAATGTAATTCATTTTCTATTCATTTATTATATTACTTGATAGAAGTTTATGACAGTTAAAGTAAACAGTTTTATTATCATAGTTTATTCCTAGTAGAAACACATTTTGATTAATTTAGCTTCAAATTAATAATTTATATTTTTATCAGAATGGGTTTTGTGGAGATTTTTAGAAATTCCATTTGTTGAAATCATGAGTCAATTGAAGCTAGACCACCATGGAAAACCTGGAAGCACTGGACGGCCGTTTCGTTCTAGTATGGGACTCCTCAGCAGTGCGCATCCAAGATCCCTCCTCCCGATACATTCGAACCCAGGACCTATCAGTCTCGCGCCAGGCGCTTAACCAGCTAGACCACTGAGCTGGCATCCAACGGTGTTAATGTCTAACTTCAACCAACCCACGAAGTTGCGCTACCATACACCATTATCTTCAGTGAGTTCCTATCTCACAACAGACTTGGTTGAACTTCACTGGTAACGATCATAAATCGATTAATGTTAGACAAAATGACCATCCAATGCTCTCAGATTTTCAATAGTGGTTTAATATCAATCGATACTTATGATCTTAATCAAAAACTTTATAACCTCTATAACCCCATAATGATAATTTATATTGTCTTTTAATACATTACAGTAATTAGAATGACAATTGATTCAAACAGCTTACTTTTTGTCATATATTGACTGCATTTTATAAATTCTTAACAATTACAGAAAAGGGGTTTTGTGAATATTATAGTAATTTGCATAGTTCAGATCATGAGTCAATTGAAGTTAGATCACCATGAAAAACTTGAAAGCATTGGACGGTCGTTACGTCCTATTATGGTACTCCTCAGCAGTCAGCATCCATCTAGTGGTTAATCGCTCGTGCACTAGACTGATAGGTCCTGGCTTTGAACCTCACGAGGCGGGATCGTGGATGCGCACTGCCACGGAGGAGTCCAATACTAGGATGAAATGGCAGTCTAGTGTTTCCAAGTCTTCCATGATGATTTAGTTTCAACTGACTCATGATGTCAACTATTGAAATTACAGAAAACCTGACTGTTGTTTCATGTTAAGATAAAACTTTACAGTAATGAGCATTGACGACTCTGTCAGAACCATTGAGCTGGAATCTGGACAATTCACATTATCGTTCAATCCAAATGAAGATGTCAAGGAAATACACTTCATGAAAACTAAGAGCAAGTTACAAAAAAAAGGGAAGAGAAAGAGAGAACAACAAAATATCATTCATAACATACACGATCTCCGGAGAATCCGACAAATTCCAGTAATTTCAATACACGTCTAGGAAGCATGGAGATCATCTATAAAAAAGTGATCACAAAAAATTATATGAATTTGGTTTTTATTTATTTTGGAACAGATAACAATAAACAATTTTTCTTGTCAGAAAGGGGTTCTTTGGAGATTTTAGTAATTTAATAGTTGAATTCATGGGTTGGTTGGAGTTAGACATTAACACAATTGGATGGTAGTCGGCCCAGTGGTCTAGAGGTTAAGTGTTCGAGCGCCAGACCGACAGGTCCTAAGTTCGGATCTCACGAGCAGGATCATGGATGTGCATGATAGGACGAAATAGACGTCCAGTGCTTCCAGGTTTCCTATAATGGTCTAGCTTTAATTGATTCATGAATTCAACTATTAAACAATGTCATTATAGATACTACTAATGAGATTATATGATTATCTATCCATTTAATCAAAACATATACACCCAAATGAGTAGGTTTTCAAAGACAAAACCACCGGTAAACTGATGAAACTCTAGTTAATATCGCATAGTAAGTGAGCTCTTGGATACGGAAAATATTAACTGTAGTAATAATAATAATAGCCCTTTGTTTTTGACTTTATTGTTTCTTCATTTCCATATCCATTACTCTCTGTTCCATTCTCTTCCATTCAATCTTCCCGAACATCTGCTACCAGATTTTCCACTTTCCATTAGTGTTACATACTACTCATATCTGTCAACATAAGTAGCACATACTCCAATAAAGAGACGTAATAGTCACTAAGTATATCATCTTGTGCTTAGCGTTAAAACAATAATTGTATTATGTAATAATTAGTCATACTAATTATTTGCTCGGGAGGTAAAATCCGACTCGCACTTCCGCGTCGTGCCGAATGACTCATGAACTAACGTGAGCGATAACCCGGGTGGTAGAGATCGAGCTAATCACCCACTCGACCGATAACCTCAAACAATTACGAACTCCACAAAGAAACACAGCAAAATTACTCTTGGATGGAAAAAGGACAAAAATTATTTGCTTATGTCTACATAGATTCAGTAAATAATCAATATTTCAATGGCTAAACCCTTTGACGGATTTCAATATCGATCAACTCATTGAGTTATATATCATTACTTACTAAATTAAAAGCTCCAACACCTAAATGTACACCACTTTCAAAAGCTGATTTACTAATTTCATTTTGCCAATTTCGATATTTTAATATTCTCCAACATATTCTGTAGTAGTCAATAAATAAACAATAACAATAATAAACAAGAAATTAAAAAAAGAAAGGAATATAAATATTATATCATTTCATTTATGTAAAATATAATTCATATGTACTGGATGATATAACATTTGGTGATAAGTTGATGCATAGTATTAGATAAAAATCAGTTGCTGATCCTAACTGAAGTTATCACTAATCAGTCGGTCAGTCAGCAACAACATAGAACTTCGTATTTACGTACGCATATCAGTCAGAGTTGCCATATCACATACGCTCAGAGATATAAATGTCAATTCAAATCCCATAGTGGTAGAGGTAATAAAATTATAAGGAGTAATCAGAACAATTAGGGTTTGAAGATGTTATTCAACGAGTATAATCCAGTGAAATATATTTGGAAAGAGAAAAAAGAAAAGGGACATGAAGAATTCAGAAGATTAGAATTTAGGCGAACACAAAGAGTGGATGCACCTACGACATTGTAAACGATTTTCAGCCATGTCATTCAAGGTCTTTAGCCATCGGTTGCTATCGTCTCGCGGATCTCAACTAGGTAGTATATACTTACCAACATGGTTCAGTTCACTTGTCAGTGACTTCATGGATTTGTGTCAACGTTTGGTGTGGCCGTCCCTAGCTTTCTTCCAACCTACTACTACACTAATGATAAACTATTAGATGTTTAGCAGTTCCAGGTAGTTTGGAAAATGACAAGATTTCGTCGTTTATAGACTAGAGTATCAGTACGACTACTTGAAACCATATAATATCCCAACATTGTGTACACAATGTTGAGTCATTAGACTGGTGACCACGTCTTAACTTGACCGTTATAATAAGGTTAGTACTTAAATTTTAGATGGTTATAACACTCATTACTACTCAGCGACTGATCAATCTTGAATACCTCAGTCATATAGAAGATAAAACTCTATATAGCCTTAAGACCAATATAAATGATCAAACAGGATTCGACGTTTGTTTAGCAGCCAAGCCTAATATGTGAACCAGAAGACCGAGAAACTGTATTCGATAGATTGAATCCACAATATGTTAACAAACTCATTTATAAATATAGATATGTTTCCCTAAGGTAAATTAAATTGGTTGGATACCATCAGCAACAAACGTCTGTGGGAGAGAACAAACAAGCTTCCAGTTGAAGAAGAAATTAGGAAGAGATGATGGAAATGGATAGGACATACATTACGCAAATCATCAAACTGCATCACGAGGCAAGCCCTAACATGGGATCGTGAAGGTAAACAGAAAAGAGGAAGGCCAAAGAACACGTTACGTCGAGAAATAGAATCAGACATGAAAAGGATGAACAACAACTGGAAAGAGCTGGAAAGGACTGCCCAGGACAGGGTTGAATGGAAAATGCTGGTGACAGGCCTATGCTCCTTTACGAGGAGTAACAAGCGTAAGTAAGGTAAATTTAACCGAATTTCAAATAACAGCGTCTGTGTTCCCCATTTAATGAAGTCACGTTTTCAAAAATAGCATAAACTCATCAACAACTCTCACTTCCTAATTAGCCTTAAACAAACTTGATAAACCTATCGGAATTTTTAACTGGAACTCAACTGTCTATAATTGGAATTCAATAAATTGATATTGGGAGTCATTTTCAACTGTTATTCAAACCAAGTACAATTCAATATAGGTGGCCAGTAACAACTTACATCATGTGTGATTATCATATCTCTAGAAATAATTGACAGGAATTCTAGCTTAACCTCCATTTCCTGTTGGTTAATATACTTTAGTAAAGCTTAAGTGATTGATGACTCTTGTGGCACTCAGATCCTTATTACTCACTTCCACAGTTAGATTTTACTGTTAAGTTAATCAAGTCGAGAAAGACACTCAGCTTATGTAAGATATCCACGTCGAGAGGTGATTACTGTGATATATATTAAGTCATTAATAATAATCGGAATGATGTGTGAGCAAGAATGATAATGATTGGTTGTCTACTTAGTTAGACATGTAGATAGTTTGATAGGTGTCAGATGAGTTATATATTCCCTTATCCTTATAATTACTATTATTGATTGTTTCTTGTTGTTGGATTACGTCGAGTTTTTCATATGGGGATAGATTTACGTTGTGGTCAGGCTTATCAAGTGTTCTTGATCATCTGAGTTGTGTTGACGTTCTGTAGAATAGACACTGGGAAGGAATCTAATGTAGATATATGTCTAAGGTAAATTAACATCTCACACGTGTAAACATTGAAAAACCAACCGTTATAACATTAGAAGAAGTAAAACCGAGCGTTATAACATTCAAAACTAATCATAAAATCAAAGTAAATAACTCATTGATAATGTACTTCAATTAATTAATATTTACATTTTATAAATTAACTAACCGGTAACATTTGTAACATTGTCTTATTTTCAAGGAACATTTTATAAGACTTGTTAATTTTTCATCTTGTAACATTGAAAGAAATGCCAGTTGAAGTAAACCTTCCGCATAACAAAGTTCAGCATGAGCCTGTTCTAGAAAGTTGAAGAAACAAAAAAAAACCAATATGATGAGACTAGAATTTATGGAGGACATTTGATTGACGATAAACTGATTTTGACAGTATCCATATGATAACTAAGACCAAATGAGGATTATAAAGCTGTGCGAATAATATCAATTATCACTTACAGTTGATGATTAAAGTTAGGAATTAGATTTCGGGGTTTTCATCATGAATTGACATTAGCTATAATGCTAAAACTCTATTTAGCCAAATGAGTACACGAATTGCGCACCAAAATCCTAGATCTGTTATCGTAAATCTGATTGATTCGTCCATAAATTTTAATCTTGCCGTGAAAACATTTACATAACAACACAATTATTTGATGACACCGTGGAATTAAACTGATTTAAATACATGTCATTCAGTTCAAATAAGTCATAGATGTATCCACAATCATCTCTTGATCATATTATCTTAAGTTCGATACCTGTTAGAATAATGTATGCGTATTACTGAGAAATACTACACGTTAACATCTGGAGTGAAGCACTGGATAGAGTGGACAACTAGGATGCAGCTGGACGACCTAGGCTTCTTAGATCATCTGGCTCTTCTATCACACACACAACAACAAATGCAGGAGAAGACGAACAGTGTAGCAGCAGCCTCATCAGCAGTAGGTCTCAACATTCGCAAAGGGAAAAACAAGATTCTCCGATACAACACAGCATGCAGCAATCGAATCACACTTGACGGAGAAGATTTGGAAGATGTAAAAAGCTTTACATATCTGGGCAGGATCATTGATGAACACGATCAATCTGATGCAGATGTGAAGGCGCGGATCGTCAAAACAAGAGCAGTATATTTATGCTGGAGCGATCCAGAAAATTACTTGCAAAAGACAAGTAAGCATCAGGAATCACTAAGGAGCGTTCCGTCCAATCAGCGTTCACTTGAAGTTTTTGCCAAAAATATTAGGGAAGCGAAACGTCACGTGTAGAGGTTCTGATTGGCTGGTCGCTACACTGCTTTTATGTTTAGTAGCATTCCAGAATCTTCTAGCAACCCAAAAACATTTAAAATATTATACAAAACCCTATATTTTCTGTATTAAAATTAACCTTGAAGTAAACTACTTCTCGCATACTTTGAGTCTTTTCTCTCGTGTTCAGGTCGCTGTATAGTTCTAGCTTGGGGGTTACAGAATAGCTTAGGAGACGAATATAGCGTTCAATCCGCAAGACCTATCAATTTACAGTTGAAGAACATTTGGAACTCAAAATGCCTCTCTGTCAACGAACACCAAAGTCAGAATTTTCAATACAAATGTCAATACAGTTCTATTGTATGAGGAGAAAATTTGGAGAACTGCAAAAGTCATCATCCAGAAGATATAAGTGTTTATTAACAGTTGACTACGCAAAACACTTCGGATATGTTGGCCAGACATTATCAGCAACAACTTACTGTGAGAGAGAACAAACTAGATCCCAGCAGAGGAAGAAATCAGGAGGAAACGCTGGAAGTGTATAAGACACGCATTCAGGAAAGCACCCAACTGTGTCACAAGGCAATCCCTCACTTCAAAACCTCAAGGCCAAAGTCAAAAGAAAAATACCAAAAAACACATTATATCGAAAATGGAGACAGACATGAGAAGAATGAACAACAATTGAATAGAACTAGAAAAGATGACGTACGACAGATTGGATTACAGAAGGTTGGTTGACAGCCTATGCTCCTTCATTTTAGGGGTTAACAGACAGTCAGCTACAACGTACGACTAGGCACATATATGCATCGGTCCAAGTTGCCATACCTCATTAACACAAAAAGATGGACACCGGATTCATAAAAGTAGTTAATTAGAGGTGATAATATATGAAAGAAAGATTGCAATAAGGATATAGTACAAGAAGAAAGAATTAGTTCGTAGAAAGAAAGATATAAAGCGATTTTAATCTCTTAGTTTAAAGGAAGACAGGGAATGTATACACAGACGCCATTGTGATCGATTCTGAGCCATTTCACCAAGAGTCTTCAACCATTGGTTACGATAGTCACACGGACTCCAAACAAGTAGTCTACATCTATCAACATGGCTCAGACTAGAAGTTAGTGACTTCAAGCACTGATGCCACGTTTTGGTTTGGCTGCCCCTAACTTTCTTCCAACCGTCTCCAACACCGGTTAGCATTGCACGTTGTGGTAATCGGTGTTCAGGCATACGTAACACGTGGCCCAACTATCCCAGTCGATGAAGATTCCTAACTTTATCAACTGATTTACTATCATTCCCTAATACCCTGCGTCTAACATCACTATTTATAACCTGGTGATCCCAGCAGATGTGAGCAATATTTCTAAGGCATCTGTGGTCAAATACTAGTAGCTTACGAGTCTCTTCTACTCTTAATGGCCATGCTTCGCTGCCGTTAGTTAAAACAGAACGGACTACCACACAGTATACCCGTCCGTTTATTGATAGACGGATATATCACCTTCACCATAGGTGACGTAACAGGTTTAAGTAAGTAAGCAAGCAAGTCATTACATGTTCATATGAACCATGTATCCAATAATCTTTAATTTTCAATAATTTCATAGTTAATATCAATCCATGATAATAAAAGAATAAACAACCAAACAAACAATGAAGAATACTACATTGTTTATAAAAATGATTGACTCATTCATAGAAATAATGAATGAAATGACTTACCTTCTGTATATAAACTATAAATGATATTACGACTTTTCTCGATTTGTTTAGTGAATGTTTCACTAATAGCTGCTTTACGTCGATTTGCTTGACATGCTTTAAGAGTTGTTTTCAATTGTTCTTTAGCAGTTTCAAGATTTTCCTAGAAGAAAAAGATAGAAAAAAAAGTTTGATATTGATTACAGATTGATCTTGTTTCTTTGGTTTTGAATAAGATTGACAGTTAGATACTGTTGGATGGTTGTCTACGATCTATCTTGTGGATAAACTTAGAACCGACTGTTATCATAATGAACACTGTACCATTAGATTATTTGGTTAAAATTCAACGGTACAAAACTGTTAACTTCAATCATTGTTGGCAAGTATTTAACTCCTTACATGGTTCAACTACTTTGAATCATACTCAATTACGTTGAGATGAATTCCCCCTCCCTGAGTCTTTATCCACAGAGTTGAAAGCCATGTCAAAGGTTGAAAAATCATCAACAGATTGAAATTAAAAATATTTACCCTTGTTATTATTCTAGAAATGATTTATTTTATTTTATTTTTATTTTAACACATAGATATTGGTACAAGAAGGCACCAGATACATATGCGCCACACAGATCTCATTTGATATTTGTGAGGACTGTGATACTGACCAAGTGCTAAAACCGAAGCAGGTGGTTTTCTTAGGGGGCTACACTCGGAGCTTTCAACCTGAAGGTCTGATCCACAAGGTAGTGGAGCATCTCAAGGAGATTCTGTCCAGTGGTAGCCAGTGGCCAACGATTGGTTCATACGCCATTTTTCCCCTCAGAGTACTGGAGCCCATGTGCACCATTGGTTTGGAATCAGGATTTTCCAACTCCCATAAGTGGACTCTTCATGCCCACCAGCCCGGTTAACGCTCCGAACATTCGCTTTTCGTCCTCTCAATTTCGTAAACAACACCCCCGTCACGGGAAGGTAGTGAGTAAGACTTCCCTGGTAATGATAATTTCAAATAGGAGTCTCACAGTAGGACGAAAGGGCCATCCAGTACTTTCAGGTTTTCCATGGTGATCTTGCTTCAATTGACTCTTGATCTCAACTATTCAAATGATTATAATATCCACACAAACCCCTTCTGATATTCATTCCAAATCGAACTACCTATATTTGTTATAGTATATAATTGGAACAAATAAACTATGTCAGTATACAAATAAGAAGACCAGATCTATCCAGAAATAACACCACTAAAGTTGAATATCCAATCTCGCTGACAATACAATCACATTATTGATACATTCAGAGAATAGAAGTTGTATATTCATCTTGTCTAACAGTTTACCCTAATGTACTGTATCACAAACGAGTCATGCCAAACTATCAATCATTTTGTTTTTGAGTTAATCCCATGTATTACTATGAATTCCTTAATAGTTTTTTTCCAACTAACTGCATACGGTTATTTAGACAAATAGTTAAATTGATCTACTAAATCCACTGATTACCTTGTCATAGATAATTTACTTGCAACCATATACAAACACATAGTTTATTCGATAGAAAACATTTGATTGAACTATTATACAAGCTTTCTTTCTTTTAACAATTCTGGTGAGTCGACTATTGAGCTTTGAATCAATAAATAAAAAGTGATGTGTCTACCATGATAGTGTAACTTCCTGATTCTGTACTAATTTTTGTAATCTTCAGTGAACACGATCGAGAAGTCTCATACAAAGGTAAAATGGTTGTATTCTAATTTCTGGTTTTCTGTGATTGTCATGAAAGTTCATGAATGATGTAATTTCAATATATTTGTGATCAATGAGTAGTATCTAAATCAATGGTCTATGCCACAACAGATTTTATGCATTCACATAGTGAATTAGTCTTATGAATCTCCAACATCCAGATGTATAAATTATAGTAAAATCTATAAGGATGTATATATTCCATTCCATATTAAGAAACATCATAGAGTCAAATTTCAAAAGCATGAATTTTAAGCATCTATTAAATATAAAAGAGAAGACTAAGTTTACTAGAAAATATCTATATCTTAATCACTATTTTTTAGATAAATACCCACTACATAGAACAACAAGTATCCAGTTGAGTTGTTTTACGTTAATAAGAAGCCTTTCAGTAAGATTTGATGATGATGTTGTTGTTGATATTGGATCCCTACATTTTTGATAGGGAAGCATTCAATGAGAGTCAAAAAAATAAAATAATCAACACTTATTCATTTGACCATTGATATATTGCTATTGAATGGTACATATTGTCAATTTCAGTTCATTCGTGGCATGATACAACAAGTACCGATTATCCTTATTATAAAATTTTCCACTTTTGAAATGAATTAACTTCACTCATCATGAATTCTTACTAAATCATATCACAGATTAACATTAGCCGAAGAACTATTGAAAATCGATGAATACCGGGTAGATGGTTAATCATAGTTTGAAAGTGTATCACAGTGTCTGTTTATGACTTCACAATTAAATTATATAGATAGATGTATGATGTTTCTCGTGACTTATGAAACTCCTTGGCTCAATTTCGAGTGGAGTGAGTTAAGATTTTTCATTAATAAGAAGTGAAAACCTTTTTATCGATAGAAAGCTGATGTTTAAACGAATCAAAAGATCTGTGAAGAGGAAGGCGATGTGAAGCTATTACAGCTTAGATTATTACTTTTTAATGTAGTACAAATCATCGGTTTAGATACCCCTGAAGTAAGAAAGAAACTAAATAGCTTTTTTTTCCAGAATGTGACTCTACATGAGATCCTTCTAAAGACATGGGAAGCTTTCCAATAAACAATCTGCTTCACTGAATCCAATTCAGATCATAAAATTTCAGCATAACGTGTTATGAGACTTTACAAATTTTGAGCCGCAAATCACAAGTACATACATACATTTAAAAATCTAAGCACAGAACGGTAATACAAACTTCAGTAAATCAGAGTAGCGCGCTATCTCTGGTGGACAACAATTCTTATATATTCTCACATAAGACCTCATTATTGATGAGTTATAATCAACAGAAGTTCCTAATGGATTGCATCGAAAGTTATGTCATCTTTTGTTTGTATTTTTCCTCCGATTAATCCAATCATTATAATACAGTAAATCTAAATCTTTTTAAGCAAAGATTGATAGTGGCTAACATTGGAATCCAGGACGCGCGCCACTTCGTCCTATTTGAGACTCGTCAGATGGATGTACCTGCATCACAGACTTGTTGATGTTCACTCTGGGACTCGGACTCAGTACCGTTCGCTTCAAATACCATCGCGTTATCCACTTATCTACTGAGTCCTGATAGCCATCTGTTTATGCAATGGGATGAAGTTTAAATTCGCTTGGTGTTGTTTTATTACTTGTATCTTGAGACTGATCAGTTTCAGTCCTAAATAACAATGGGAAGATACAAGTAAAAAAACACCAAGTAAATCTCAGTTTATAATAAAAAACCAACATTCTTTAGAGTTGTATTCGTAAACAGTTAGAGCATCAGTTACTCTGTACAAGTTATCCTCAGAGCACATTAAATAAAATCTATGATTATGAAATTTGTTAACACAAAGAGCAGCCGATTACCAGATCTGTTTGTCAGTGAATTAAACTAGATATATATTATAGATCACAAAGAACTGGACTACTGTTTCATCCTGATTTGGGTCCTTATTCACTAATAAACGATTTATTTGTGATGGTTGTATCAATACTATTGTTTAATTTTTATTAAAATGCACTTTGGCGCGAACCAATATATTTTTATCCAATTTCAGTCCTTCTCATATCATTTATTGATAGTTGACATTGCTAATTGAACTTAGTTAGACAACCATTAAGAAGTAACAAACATTGGATAACTATTTTAGTCTAGTATGAAGCTTCTCAGTTGTGAAAATTCACAACCCTACGGGATATCAAACTCAGGAACCCCAAGTGTCTCTCCAAGAGTTCAACCTTCACATTGTCATGTCGAGGTCTATTAGTTGACATTTTTAAATTAAATCCGCTTGCGATATTACCGAATGATCGACCAATCAAAATGGTAGGCAACTGCCTTCCTCACAATATGGTCGAGATCCACTGGTCTCGCCCCCTTGCACTAAGAAAACCACCTGCTTCGGCTTGTGGCACCCGGGCGGTATTCCATCCCTCACACAAATTAAATGATTTATGCGACGCATATCTATCTTCATAGTAAGAGAATCCCACAGAAAAGCCCAGTCAACACAGCTCCTGAGGACGAATTTAGGACTTTATTTGTTATTGAAATAGTTGGTTAAAATTGGTAAATAATACGTAATAATGACAATCATGGAAATCTGTTTAGTTCATAGAACACTTAAGGTTTTTGACAGTAAAAAATTGTTCTAAAATGGTCAATATTCAAAAACTTAATTCATGCCTATTGACAGATGATTGATTATGATAATGTAGATCTATATTAGAATTGTAAATGAACTGATGATGATTGACCAAGTCCTCACAAACTATTCCTATTGAATGAATTGATGATATTCTTTTTGGGATTTTGAGAAATAATAATCTTCTTAGCCTAAGTACACTTCATGATCTTGTATTTCATTTCAACTGATATAAATATTGACGTAAATGTCACCCTTTAAATATTTATTCACAAAATATGGGTTCATATCAGCTGATAAACAATACAACATTTATAATCAGAAAATTGCTTTGTGAATATTATAGTATTTTAATAGTTGAATTCATGAGTCAATGGAAGCTAGACCACCATGGAAAACCTGGAAGCAATAGACGACTGTTTCGTCCTAGTATGGGACTCCTCAGTAGTATGCATTCACGATCTAGCTCGTGGGATTCCAACCCAGGACGGACGCTTAACCTCTAGACCACTGAACCGGCCGGCATCCAACCGTGTTTATGTCTAACTTCAACTAATCCACGAAATTGCGTCATCGTCTACCATTACCTTCAATGAGTCACTGCCTCATAACAGACCCAGTTGAACTCCATTTGTCATTGCTTCTCACTAGAACTCCAGGAAATACCTCATGAAGTCAGTCACTAATGACCATATGATGATTATAATCAGATAGGGGTTTTGTGGATATTATAATAATTTGAATAGTTGAGATCACGAGTCGATTGAAGCCAGACCACCATAGAAAACTTGGTAGCATTGGACGGCCGTTTCGTCCTAGTCTAGGACTCCTCAGTAGCTTTAATTGACTCATGAATTTAACCATTAAAATACAATATTTGATTAAAAATAAGCTAATTGGTCATATATACCATACAACACATAATGAAAACGTATCACTACATACCTGTTCTATTGTAGCCATTCCTTGAATAAATAAAATTGTAGAATTTGATAATTCCTGATACATACCACTATGTGTACTTAATAAGAGAGAGAGAGACAGTCATTTAATGAAAATAAGATTCCGATTACTTCATGTGTAAACGATTCTTTGCTTCTTCAAATCGATTATTTAAAAATAAATCAATGGTGGTTTTGGCTTCAGCAATTCCCTCCAATAATTTTTCACATGTATCATCGTTAATATTGTTAGTGTTATTATTCATATCTGAATTGTTAAGATTACCGGTCTTTGGTTGATTTTCGTACCACGGTCCAAGATACTGAGATATAAAATTTAGATAAATTCAATTTAACAACAATAACAACAACAACAAAATAACATTCTTATTTATGTTACTAAGGTAATACTAACTTCAAAAGATTGTTAGACTGATCAAAGTATTTATTGTCATTATTGATTAAAATAGTGTGCAAAGATCAGTTCTATTTAAATGAGGCCTTTCATCGTGGAACGAAATTAGCTGATTTAAGTCTGTGACAAAGTAAAAACAAATGATTGGTCACCGAGTAATGACCGCTGTCATGTTTATCAACTCCTTAGTGCTGATAGAGTTCTATATATCGAGTTGTAATATGACCATTAACCTAAATGACCCGACATAGAGGGAATTATGTTGAGATGTAAGGTGGTGGTTGAAGGAAGTAGACATGAAATTTTGATTAACCTAGGTCTAGTTCTCGTTTAAACTCGTTAGCAAGGCGTACCTGTGATCTTGAGGGAACTGATTCTTACCGTGAGATTAAAATTCGCATCTACCAGTTTCATAGCCTGAGATATTACCACTTAGATATTCTGTTCCCGCATAAAATCTTGTAGGATCAAGATATTTACAATTAACAGATTGATGGTTTAGTCATATAGTGCTAATCTAAGTCAATCGATATTTATTGTCATTATGAACTGGTAATTTGTGTACAGAGTTAAAGGAATAATGATTTGACTTGGCTAACCGATTACTACTACAGACATTCAAACAGACGATTTACATTAACGTAAATTCAATAAACCTGTACTTCAGAAATGAATGGCAAATAAATTAATGATGACTTAAACACATGGTAATCATTTCTCTATATTTCTTCCATACGGATATTTTAGTTACCATCTCAATAAAATTGGTTATGACAGTAAACAATCAAATTTTAATTCACTATGAGGAAAAATGAATATTCATAGAATAAACTGACGTAAATTAAACAACAATAACAACAACAACTGACAGTTTAATTCCTCTAACTGATTGTATTCAAAAGTCTAAACCATTGGATACTAATTTTAATAATCTTGAAGGTTAAAAGCTAATCGTCTGAATATCTTAAGTTTAATTATGAATCCTTATTGTCAAGACGTTTCATACAAGGAAAACATAGATACCATGTTTTACCTCTTAGTATTCAGTAGTTATGATGTAATATTAAATCATAATACAATTGTATTCATTAAGAAAAAAGATATATAGACACTTAAATAAGAAGGGGTTTTGTGGATATTTTAGTAATTTTTAATAGTTGAAATCATGAGTCAATTGAAGCTAGATTACCATGAAAAACTTGGAAGTACTGGACAGCCGTTGAAGTTAGACATTAACACCGTTGAATAGCAGCTCACTAGTCTAATGGTTAAGCGCTAACGCGGGAGACAGATAGGTCCTGGGTTTGAATCTCTCGACGTATGATCATGGATGCACACTACTAAGGAGTCCTACACTAGGACGAAATGGCCGTCCATTGTTTCCAGGTTTTTTATGTTGGTCTAGCTTCAATTGATTCATGATCTCAACCATTAAAAATATATTTAAATATTGATTATTTTGGAGAATATAATGGTAATGCACATACACACACACACACGCAGAGAACTCCTCAATATACACACATTGAAAACACAATAATTTAAGGTCAACTTAATTGAATATACTAAGTATATTTTGCTATTATTTATAATCATTACAATCATTAGATTATTGAAGATAATGAATGGCATGTTGAAACAAACAGAACATACATATCTACACAAAATTATTGATTTAGTTACAATATTTTATTGATTATTAATATACTCAATAAATAATAGAATAGTTGTGTTTTTTTTGTTTCCTTTGTATTATAGAATTTGGAAACAAAGATCATTTCAAAATAAACGAGTAAAGTTGAATGAAACCGATGGTTTACTTGAATATCTGAACTACTTGTTCCTGTTAATTGATCTAGATATTTCAATCAATGATCTATTTCATTGTGTGTTTGTTTGTTTGTTTCAACAGACTATTATGTCAATTCATTGCATAATCTATTCAGATAAGTTTCGGGAAAAATGTACAATTTTTCATTGTACAGGTTATAAAAGAGCCCAATGAGAGATATTGTGATTCTTGATAATATGCAACGAAAAGAATGTATATTATTTAGATGTCAATTCTTGAATTGTTAATATCTAATTAGTAATCAATCAATATTGAATAGTTGAATTCATGAGTCAATTGAATATAGACCACCATCGAAAACCTAGAAGTATTGGATGGCTGTTTTGTTCTAGTATGTAACTCCTCATTAGTAGGTATTGACGATCTACTTCGCGGGATTCTAACCTAGGACCTATCGGTCTCACACGCGTACGCTTAACCTGTAGACCAATAAGCCAGCACCAATCTACGAAATTGCACCACTGTTTATCATTGTCTTCAGTGAATTACTATATCACAACAGACCTGGTTGAACTCCACTAGTCACAGCTTGTCACTAAAACTCAAGGAAGTACCTCTTGAAGCTAGCCATTGCTGAAGAGTCCCTTATCAGGCTTTCCGTGGTGGTCTAAATTCAAATGAATCATAAATTTAACTATTAAATTACTAAAAACAACTATTCTTAAGATATTCCTGAATCTCTTAGTTACAGTTTCTCATATTCACAGCCAACTCCGCCTGGAGTCCCTCCGGGGCTACTGCCGGTCCCAAGCCCGGATAAAGGAGGAGGGTTGGGCATGGAGTTAGCGTCCCCATCCCGTAGAAAACTAACTCGCTAAAAAAACGCTAACCAGAAAGAATTATTCAAACCTTTTAACCTCTGCCCTGGGAGTCAGAAGGTCTTCATTTAGAAGAACTATGACGCCTCATGATGAAAGACGAATTCCTTCGAAAGTTACGAGGCCGATGCCCCTTCTGACAACCAGAGCGACCATTTATTTAGGTACATGGAATGTTCGTACAATGTGGGACACCGGGAGAGCCTTCCAAATTGCTGCAGAAATGAGAAGATACAACCTAGAGGTACTTGGGATCAGTGAAACACATTGGACGCAAGTTGGACAACAACGACTAACTTCAGGAGAGCTTCTGTTATACTCCGGCCATGAAGAAGAAAATGCCCCACATACACAAGGAGTTGCATTGATGCTGTCCAAACAATCGCGAAATGCGCTTATAGGATGTGAATCTCATGGACCAAGGATCATCAAAGCCTCCTTCAAAACAAAAAAGGAGGGCATTACAATGAATATTATCCAATGCTATGCGCCTACCAACGATTACAATGAAGACGCTAAAGATCAATTCTACGATAGACTGCAGTCAATCGTCGAGAAGTGCCAAACAAAGGACCTGACCATTCTGATGGGAGATTTCAACGCCAAGGTTGGAACGGACAACACTGGATATGAAGACATCATGGGACGACATGGACTGGGAGAAAGAAACGAAAATGGTGAGAGATTTGCAAACCTATGTGCCTTCAATAAACTGGTCATAGGTGGCACCATATTCCCACATAAACGCATTCACTAAACCACATGGACTTCACCGGATCACACCATGCAAAACCAAATCGACCATATTTGCATCAACAAAACGTTCAGGAGGACTATAGAGGACGTGAGAATCAAGAGAGGAGCTGATATAGCATCAGATCATCCCTTGCTGGTCGCCAAGATGAAATTGAAACTCAAGAAGCACTGGAAAATGGGGCGGACAATATCACAAAAGTTCAATACGGCCTTTCTTCAGGATACTAACAAACTCAACAAATTCAAGATAGTCCTCAGCAACAAGTTCCAGGCCTTTCATGATCTACTCAATGGGGAAGGAACTACTGTGGAGAGCAACTGGAAGGGGATCAAAGAGGCAATCACTTCAACATGTCATGAGGTCCTGGGTCACAAGAAGCATCATCACAAGGAATGGATCACTGTTGATAAACTGGATAAGATTCAAGAAAGAAGGAACAAGAAGGCAGCAATCAATACCAGTCGAACAAGAGCAGAAAAAGCCAAAGCACAAGCTGAATACACAGAAGTAAACAAACGAGTGAAGAGGAGTATCAGAATCGACAAACGTAAATATGTGGAAGATTTAGCAACAACGGCGGAAAAGGCTGCAAGAGAAGGGAACATGAGACAACTGTATGACATAACAAAGAAACTCTCTGGAAATCGTCGCAAACCAGAACGACCAGTGAAAAGCAAGGAAGGCGAGGTAATCACCAACATTGAAGAGCAACAAAACAGGTGGGTAGAACACTTCAAAGAACTCTTGAATCGACCAGCTCCACTGAACCCACCCAACATCGAAGCAGCACCCACGGACCTCTCAATCAACGTTGGCCCACCAACAATTGAAGAAATCAGCACGGCCATCAGACAAATCAAGAGTGGCAAAGTGCAGGACCAGACAACATTCCAGCAGAGGCACTAAAAGCAGACGCAGCATTAACTGCAAGGATACTCCACATTCTCTTCAATAAGATTTGGGATGAGGAACAAGTACCAAAAGACTGGAAAGAAGGACTTCTGATCAAAATACCGAAGAAAGGCGATCTCAGCAACTGTGATAACTACAGGGGCATCACTATTCTCTCAATACCGGGAAAAGTCTTCAACAGAGTATTGTTAACCAGGATGAAGAACTGCGTAGACGCCCAACTTCGTGACCAACAGGCAGGATTCCGTAAGGATAGATCATGTACAGACCAAATCGCAACTCTACGGATCATTGTGGAACAATCAATTGAATGGAATTCATCACTCTACATCAACTTCATTGACTACGAAAAGGCATTTGATAGCGTAGACAGGACAACACTATGGAAGCTTCTTCGACACTACGGCGTGCCTCAAAAGATAGTCAATATCATACAGAGTTCATATGATGGATTACACTGCGAAATCGCACATGGAGGACAGTTGACAAAGTCGTTCGAAGTGAAGACCGGTGTTAGACAAGGTTGCTTACTCTCATCCTTTCTCTTTCTCCTGGTGATTGACTGGATC